AAGTCTAAAAGCATTTCCTCTAAGATCAGGAATAAGATATAGATACCTGCTTTTACCACTTCTCTTCAACATAGTAGTGGAAATTCTAGCTAGAGCAACTACGCAAGAAAAGAAATAAAAGGTATCCAAATTGGAAAGGAAGAATTAAAATCATCTCTGCTTGCAGATGATATGATCTTTTACAAAACAATTTTTAGAATAAATTAATTCAGCAAAGTAGCAGAATACAAAGTCAACACACAAATAGAAATTGTAATTTTATATGTAAACAATGAACAATCTGAAAAAGAAATTATAAAAACAACTCCATTCAAAATAGCATCCAAAATAATAAAATGCTTAGGAATTAACTTAACCAAGGAGGTGAAAGACTTGCACAATTAAAGTGACAAAACATTGCTGAAAGAAATTAAAGAAATAAATGGAAACACATCCCATGTTCATGGATTGGAAGATTTAATATTATTGAAATATCCATACTACCCTAAACTATCTACAGATCCAATGCAATTCTATTAAAAGCCCAATAACATTTTCTGCAGAAATAGAAAAATCCATCCTGGGGCGCCTGGGTGGCTCAGTCGTTAAGCGTCTGCCTTCGGCTCAGGTCATGATCCCAGGGTCCTGGGATCGAGCCCCGCATCGGGCTCCCTGCTCCGCGGGAAGCCTGCTTCTCCCTCTCCCACTCCCCCTGCTTGTGTTCCCTCTCTCGCTGTGTCTCTCTCTCTGTTAAATAAATAAAATCTTTAAAAAAAGAAAAATCCATCCTAAAATTCAAATGGGATCTTAAGGGACCCCCATAGCCAAAACAGTCTTGAAAAAGAACAAAACTAGAGGACTCACACTTCTTAATTTCAAAAATTACTACAAAGCTACAGTAATCAAGACATTGTGATATTGGCATAGAGACAGACATACAGACCAACAGAATTGAACAGAGAACCCAGAAACGCACCCTCACTTATATGGTAAAAAGATTTTTGACAAGGGTGCTATGGCTGTTCAATGAGGAAGGGACAGTCTTTTTAACAGATGGTGCTGTAAAAATTGGACATCCACATGCAAAAGCATGAAGTTGGACCCTTACCTATCTTACCTAATACCATATACAAAAATAAGCTCCAAAAGGATAAAAGACCTAAATGTAAGACCTAAAACAATAAAGTTCTTAGAAGAAAACAGCACAAATCTTCATGACATGGGATCTGGTGATGATTTCTTGGATGTGACACCAAAGGTATGGGTATATATAGGTAAAAAAAAGAGGAAATAGACAAATTGGGCTTCATGAGCATTGGACACTTTGGTGCATCAAAAGACACCACACACAGAGTAAAAGGGAACTTTTCCCTACAGGATGGGGGAAAATATCTGCAAATCATATATCTGATAAGGGATTAATATCCAGAATATATAGAGAACTCTTACAACTCAACAACAACAAAAAAACAACCAATGTAAAAATGGGCAAAGGATTTCAATAGATATTTTCCCAAAGAAGATATCCAACGAGGCATTTAAGCACATGAAAAGATGCTCAACATCACTCATCATTAGTGAAACACAAATCAAGACTATAATGAGATACCACCTCACATCCATTAGGATGGCTGCTGTCAAAAACACAGGAAAAACAAGCATTGGTGAGAAAGTGGAAAAATTGGATCACTTATGCACTTTGTGTGGGCCTGTAAAATGGTAAAGCTGCTGTGGAAAACAAGTTGGCAGTTCCTCAAAAAATTTAAAAAAGAATTACCATGTGACCCAGAAATTCCACTTGTGGGTATACGCTCAAGAATTTAAAGCAAGGGGGTGCCTCGGTGGCTCAGCCGATTGACCGTTGGATTCTTGTGTTCCTCTCAGGTCATGAGATGGAGCCCTGCATGGGGCTCTGCGCTCAGTGAGGAGTCTGCTTGAGGATTCTCTCCCTCTGCCCCTCCCCACCTCACACTCACGCACACACACTCTCTCTCTCTCAAAAAATAAACCTTTATTTTTTTAAAGAGCCAGAGCTGGAGGTGGGGCTCTTAACCGACTGAGCCGCACAGACACTCCTATTTTACCACAATTTTTAATTTTATTTATTTATTCATGAGAGACAGAGAGAGAGAGAGAGAGAGGCAGAGGGAGAAGCAGGCTCCCAAGGAGCAGGGAGCCCGATGCGGGACTCGATCCCAGGACCCCGGGATCATGACCTGAGCCGAAGGCAGACGCCTAACCATCTGAGCCACCCAGGCGCCCCTTACCACAATTTTTAAATGAAAAAAACCCTATGTAGATCTGTATGATTCTATTTATATGAAATCCTAGAAAAGGCAAAACTAATCTTAGAGAAAAAGAGCAGATCGATGGCTCAGGGCCAGAGGGCTGTGGTTGGGACAGATTGCAAAGGTGCACCAGGGGATTTTTTTGGAGGAAGACCTGTTCAAGGTCTTGACTGTGGTAGTGGTTACAGGGGTGTATACGTTTGTCAGAACTAATCTAGCTGTATGCTTGAAATGGGTGCATTTTTTGTATATAAATTATACCTCAAAAAGGTGATTAAAATCTTTATGACATTAATAGCTAAAACATACACTGTGAACATTTTTCTAGTTTGACCTTATTAATTTCTATGGCCATAGAGTTTTCCATTGTATAATTGGGCCTCTATAACTTTACCAAACCTCTTTGGACAAAAATTTAGGTATTTCCCATTCAACTTCTTGTTGTTACAAAGAATGCTTCAGGATCATCCTTGTGGTCACATCTTTGTGCACTTATCCACTTATTTCTTTGGGATAAATTCCCAGAAGTGGAACTTCTGGGTCAAAAGATATTTAATAGCAACAGATAATGGCAAAATATGATCCAGAATCATACTAATTTACCCTCTCACCAACTCTGTGTTACAATTCCTACCACTCCCACATTCTCACCAATGTAGCCTGTTACGTCATTATAATCTTTGTCAGATGAAAAATAGTTCATTGTTTTGTTTTTTTCTTGATCTTTAGTGAAAATGAGCATCTTTTCAATGTCTTGGTCATTTACACTTCCATGAATTATCTGTATCCTTTTCTCTATTTCTATCTGTGTCCATAATTATCTGTCTATATCTGTCTGTATCCAAATAATTCTATTTGTTTACTTATTAATTTCTTATTGATTTACAAGAGCTCTCTATATATCATGGATATCAGTCCTCTTTCATGTATATTGCAAAGGTTGACTCCTGGCTTGAGGTTTTCTTTCAATTTGATTGATGGCTTTTAATGTTATTTGGAAATTTTAAATTAAGGCAAGTCTGTTAGTCTTCCCCTTGTGATCCAAGATTTTATGTCTTGCTTAAAAAAAGCCTTCCTCAGGGCACCTGGGTGGCTCAGTCAGTTAAGTGTCTGCCTTCAGCTCAGGTCATGATCCCGGGGTCCTGGGATCGAGCCCCACATCGGGCTCCCTGCTCAGCGGGGAGCCTGCTTCCCCCTCTGCCCCTCCCCCACCCCCTGCCTATGCTCGCTCTCGCTTCTCTCTAATAAATAAATAAAAATTTAAAAATCTTTAAAAATATCTAAATACAAATAGGATTGGCAAGATCCACATGAGGGAAAATAGTTTTACTAAAGGATCTAAAGGAAGACCAATGACACCCACACCAGTCTATACATATTAACGCGATTTCAGTCCAAAACTGGTTTCTACTCTCCTCGGTTTTGACACTTAGAACAAAAGCGTGAGAACAGCGAGAGGATCTGAGGAAGTATAAGGAGCGTGGCCTTGCCTGGCCTTCTACTAACGCTCCCAGATTCCCCCGGCTGGGCTGGACACCATCTACCCTGAATTCACTGCGCTAGTTAGTTCTTCAACAGTGCTATGAACAGAAAATGCTGGAAAATGCTATTTTACTTGTTGCTGAGCTTCTTTCAGCATTTTCCAGGTAAAAAGGTTCATCCTGAGTTAAAACGCTAGGAAAGCCCAATGCAAATACAAGGTCAGGGAGTCTGTTGCACCCTTGGGGCTCAGCCAGTTGACCCCTCGTAAGTGACTGTCACTGAGACCCAGAGAACCACAGGGCTGGGAGGCATGGGTCAGACCCATCTCAGTGAGCTCTTGCCACCTGGAGCACTAGCTGGGACCTCTGCCCAGTGCTGTGTCGTTTTCTCTCCTAGACCTGTGGACGAGGGATGGCCGACCCCCATCCCCTGAGTTCGTGAGGCCCAGCGGAGGGGCTGCCATGGGCTGGACATCCCACCCGCTGCAGGTGAGGAGAGGAAGAGGGCAGGGTGGGCTTGGGGTCCTCCAGTGTCCACCTTAGCTGAGGGAGGGACACATGGGGGCGGCCAGCCTTGGCTACGGGATTCACTCAAATCCTCAGAGAGGAGAAGGAATGTGAGCAGGTGCTCCACCTCGTTGTGGCTATGGAAAACAGCGCTGCTGAGGGTCAGGAGACCCAGGGAAACACTGAGATAAACAGCAACACTCCTGGCGATGTCCACTGTAGGAGTTTGGACAAGCACACCATGGCATGAACCCACCACTGTAGGACCATGCACAGTGGCTTCACTGTCCTAAGAGGCCCCTGGGCTCCACCTATCTACCCTTCATTCGCCTTTTCGTGTGAGCGGAACTGCCCTTACCGTCCTATTTCCAGGTCACAAATGAGGACACCACCGCACCAGCAGCTCAGGTGGCCTGCCCAGCGTCACACAGCCAGTAAGTGGCAGAGCTCACGATACAGCCCGGGCCCGGGTCTGATCCACTAGCCCTGGGTCTGATCCCCTGGCCCCCCATGTCTGAGCCATGCTCCTGGCATCAGGGGCCCCTCTCACCATCTGGGAACAAACAGCACTTCCAAGCCCTTCGTGGAGGCCAGACCGAGGGCCACCAGCAGTCTGGGGAAGGACAGAGAGTGGATGCCTCCCCATCCCTGGAGGCTCACTCACCTGTCCCAGGCCAGGGTGGTGAGACGGCACACAGCACTTCAGGCCCTCTCTTCACAGCTCCTGGTGGCAACCCTGGACTCCATGAGGAAGCAGGAGGTGCGGACGGGTGGGGAGGCAGGCCAGGGCCAAGGCCCCAGCTCCCCGGCAGGGCAGGTGAAAGCCCTCGTGGACCTCCTGGCCGGGAAGAGCAGTCAGGGCTCCCAGGCCCCACCGACCACAGACAGGACGCCACACAGTGATGGTAGGCAGATGGGAGGGTGTCCCCCGGCCCTCCCCCTTCACACCTCCCTCCCCAACCCTCCCCTTTGGCCTATGTCCCACAGACTCGAGGATAAAGAAGTGCCAGGAGGCTCTGCTGAACAGGGCAAAGGGCAGCCCAGAGCTGAGCGGCCCCTCGCCCAGGCTGACCAATCTCCTGCTGGTGGAGGGGCTCACAGACCTGCAGCTGAAGGAACATGACTTCACGCAGGTGGAGACCACACGTGGGGGCTGGCACCCGGCCAAGACCATCGCCCTGGACAGACTCTTCCTGCCTCTGTCTCGGGTGTCTATCCCACCCCGAATCTCCATCACCATCGGGGTAGCTGGCGTGGGCAAGACCACCCTGGTGAGGAACTTTGTCCACCTCTGGGCCCGGGGACAGATCGGCAAGGACTTCTCCCTGGTGCTACCTTTGACCTTCCGAGATCTCAACACCCATGAGAAGCTGTCTGCAGACAGACTCATCCACTCTGTCTTCCCGCACATTGGGGAGTCTGGCCTGGTGGCAGCAGCCCTACCCAATATCCTCCTGATCCTGGACGGCCTGGATGAATGTAAGACGCCTCTGGACTTCTCCAACACTGTGGCGTGCACAGACCCCAAGAAGGAGATCCAGGTGGACCATCTGATCACCAACATCATCCGAGGCAACCTCTTCCCGGAAGTTTCTGTCTGGGTCACTTCCCGCCCCGGCGTGGCTGGCCAGATCCCGGGGGGCCTGGTGGACCGGATGACAGAGATCCGGGGCTTTACCGAGGAAGAGATCAAGGTGTGTCTGGAGGAGATGTTCCCCGAGGACCACGCCCTCTCAGACTGGGTCCTGAGGCGGGTGCAGGCAGACAGGGCCCTGTACCTGATGTGCACGGTCCCGGCCTTCTGCCGGCTCGCAGGGTCGGCACTGGGTCACTTGAGCCGCAGCAAGCCGGGGCCCCAGGACGCAGAGCCGTGGACTCCAAGGACCCTGTGCGAGCTCTACTCTTGGTACTTCAGGATGGCCCTCGGTGGGGACGGGCAGGAGAAAGGCAAGGCGAGCCCTCGCATCGAGCAGGTGGCCCACAGCAGCCGCAAGATGGTGGGAACTCTGGGTCGGCTGGCCTTCCATGGGCTGGTCAGGAGGAAGTACGTGTTCTACGAGCAGGACCTGAAGGCGTTTGGCGTGGATCTCGCCCTGCTGCAGAGCGCCCTGTGCGGCTGCTTCCTGCGGCGGGAAGAGACCCTGGCCTCCTCGACAGCCTACTGCTTCACCCACCTGTCCCTGCAGGAGTTCGTGGCGGCCGCGTACTATTACAGTGCGTCCAAGAGGGCCATCTTTGACCTCTTCACCGAGGGCGGCGTGTCCTGGCCCCGCCTCGGCTTCCTCACCCATTTCCGGAGTGCGGCCCAGCGAGCCATGCAGGCCGAGGACGGGCGGCTGGATGTGTTCTTGCGCTTCCTCTCAGGACTTCTGTCTCCGAAGGTCAACGCCCTGCTGGCGGGCTCCCTGCTGGCCCAGGGGGAGCACCAGGGCTACCGGGCCCAGGTGGCGGAGCTCCTGCAGGGCTGCCTACGCCCCAACGTGGCCGTCTGCGCCCGGGCGGTCAACATCCTGCACTGCCTGCACGAGCTGCAGCACACGGAGCTGGCCCGCAGCGTGCAGGAGGCCATGGAGAGCGGGGGCCTGGCGGCGCTGACCGGCCCCCAGCACCGCGCCGCCCTGGCCTATCTCCTGCAGGTGTCGGATGCCTGCACCCGGGAGGCCAACCCGTCACTGCGCCTCAGCAAGGGCGTCCTCCAGAGCCTGCTGCCCCAGCTGCTGTACTGCCGGAGCCTGAGGTGGGCGCTGGGGCCGGGCTGCGCCAGGCGTGCGGGGTGGGGGGGCAGAGGCCCCGGAAGCTTCGTCCCTTCCACCACGCGCCCCTGGTCAGCATCCTGGGGCCGCCATAAAGAAGGACCACAACGTGGATGGGTTAAGGCATCAGAAACTTACTCTCTCACAGCTCAGGAGACCAGAATTCAAAATCAAGTTGTTAGCCGGGCTCAGCTCCCTCTGAAACCTGTAGGGGAACACGGTTCCTGCCTCTCTAGTGTGTGTTTGCTGGCATCCTCAGCTTGTCCACACATCACTCCCATCTTTGTGGCACAGGGACTCCTCCTCTGTGTCTCTGTCTTCGTGTAGTGCTCCCTCTGCTGAGCACACCAACCATGTGGGATTGCAGGCCCAGTCCGCTCAGAATGACTTCCTCTTAACTAATTACATCCACAATGATTCTATTTCCCAATAAGGTCACATTCTTGAGGCACTGGGGGGTCAGAACACCTATCTTTCTGGGGAACACAATTCAACCTCCAACACCCTGTGAACCATCCAGTGCTGACAGACGCCACACCCACTCACCCCACCCCCAGCCCAGAGTCCACCCAGTGCTCTGGACCTTAGGAAGGCTGTAAGACCAGGGCCATTCCGGACCTGAGAGCAGGTGCCACGTCCTCAGGAGGAGGAGAGCTAACAACCCGTGTCCCATAGCCTCACAGGGTGTGAGGGGCTGTTGGGAAGACACCCCTCCGGGTAGGGATCCTGGGGCTCGAAACACTGAGCCTCCCAGTCCACCCTCACAGGAAAATGCTGAGCGTGGTGGGTGTGCCAGCATAAACCCCTGAGCCACACAGCGGGGGCTGCAGCACGATGGAAACGTCAGCCTGGGTGCCTCTGTGGCCGTGATGCCGGCCCTTTGCCAGCGCCTGGCTCCACCTGCTTGCGGGCACTGATACCACTCATCATCGCTCTTCCTTCCGCAGGCTGGACAACAACCAGTTCCAGGACCCCGTGATGGAACTGCTGGGCAGCGTGCTGAGTGGGAAGGACTGTCGCATTCAGAGGATCAGGTAATGCTGACCCAGGAGACCCGATCCGGGATGCTCACCTGTTGCACAGGGTCTGGGGCTCCTTTCCCCTCCTCTTCTCTGCTCAACCGGCCAGGGGTGCTTTCAAGGAGAGGTGCCTTTGAAGCATGTGGCTCAGGATACACGCTGCTTGTTTCTGCCCATTCCAGAAAGTTCCAGAGGCTCAGGTACCTCATCTGTGAGAAGAGGGAAAGGATAGGGTGAGGGTCAGATGCTGTCATGGACATGGAAGCATGTCTCTGAATACTCTATGATCTGATGTGGTGCCAGGCCCAGTCTTCTCCAAGCTCCTCTCAAAGTTGGCCCCCAAAACAGTACCAGAGGCACGGGATCACATCTTTAAATCAAATTTTAAAGTTTTTAATTAAAAAAATGAGTTTAAATTTAAACTTTTATTTAAATGAATGCAAAAAATACAATTTAAACACTGCATCTTTAATGTTGTAAATAGACAAAAGTCTATATGCTGATGGCAGAAGAGATTTTTGTGTTTGTGAAATCTCTTCTTGTGATAACATTTCTGAGTCTGAGTAACACCTGGGTTTCGAGCTGAGCTGATGTGATGATCTGGGGTAGCTAGAACTAGGGAGATGAGTTTGGAGCATAGGATCCAGAGAGGAATTCTTCATCTTCATGTAAGCCTCCCTCCGGGTTCTGAAATCATCTTTATCTGAGAAAACAAAAACAAACATGGAACAGGTCAGGAGCAAAAACAAGTCACCGAGGACAGCGGTGAGAGACTGGTGGGCCCTATATGGCCCTGTACTGTCACTTCCCTGCTTAAAGAGGATAAAAATGGGGTAAAAACAGTATCTGTGAGTCCAGGGGTCCCCACGGCCCTCCTCAGGTTCAGTGATTCACTAGAAGGACTCACAGAACTCAGAAAAGCTCTTGTACCCACGATTGTGGTTCATCACACCAAAAAGATACAGATGAAAATCTGCAGAGGGAAGGTGCGTGGGGCAGGCCGGGGGGAGACCAGGCGGGCTTTCACTTGTCCCTCCCGGTGTGGTCATATACACAGTGCCTCCCTCTCCCGGTGACCACCAAGCATTCCCAGTAGCGAGGCTCACCCGCGCTTGTGGGCAGTTTTCATGGGGGGCTGGGCATGGAGACATACCTCACTGCCCACAGGGAAGCCCCTCCAGGGGTCAAGCTGTTACTGTGGGGCCCCAAGTCCCCTGGTAAACAGAGGTCAGCTTTCAGGAACTGGGGGCGAGGTTAACCCTTTCCTGCACACTAACTACCTCTTCAGGTTGTCGAGCAGCTCCAACAGGTTAATGCAAGGGAAGTGTGAGGACAGGCCAGGCACAGACTGTACAAGGGCCAGCTGTTCTAAGCAGGATTCTCTGACTTGTTAGCCAGAGATATAAATGCAATCCCTTTGACAGAAACACGCTAATGACAACTTTTCATTATTTATTCCTTCATGGGAGCCTTCAGCAAAATAGTCAACTTCCAGTGTTTTTGCATAAAGGAGTCTGGATAACGCTCAGAATATTTTCTGAACAAAAGTCCCAAATTTCTTTGATGGCCACATGCTCTTCTTCAGCTCCCTGTAGTTGGTCCTCAGGGCCACATCCCTGTGTAAAATGCCCAAGGCACCGTTCAGAATACACACATGGCTCATGAAATATTACTTATAAAACTTTATAGAAGTCCTAGGTGGAGGGGGACAGAGGTGCTCTAGAACTCGAGAACATTTATATAGAAGGTGGTCTGGATGAATGGTCTTCAAAGTTGAAGCAACAGAACCCTTTTTAAAAGTGGTCTATCAGGCAGGACCCCAGTAAGAGATGCGCAACTGGGAGCTGCTGGGATTGAAATAAGAGGGGTGCTTGGTTCCTCCTCAGCCTCTAGGGGCTCCTGAGGCTTTTCTGAGGAACACCAGGAGCCCTTGAAACACAGCTTGAAAAGCACTGGGGATTCCAACTGTATCCCCTGGGGAAGCTCCACAGTTTTAAATGCCTAAGAAACTGTAGAGAACCTCAACCAGCCACCATTTTTGAAACTGGGTCCATGAAGCAACATGATCCACCAGCTTATTCCTGAAATCACCCTTTTATGTCAGACGCAAGTGTTTTTTGGTTTTTGGTTGTTTTACTTTCAAGTTAGTTCTGTAATAAGTACCCTCTTCCTTTCTTGCATTAGAAAAACGGCTGGGGCCAGGGTGAGCCAGAACTATGAATTCGGCCACTGGTTCATGAGAGCAGATTATTCAAGTTTTGGGAACTTCTGTAAGCTGGGAGTGCTTAAAATTGGCCGTGGTGAGAGTGTTTACACCACGGAAATTGGCCAATGCTACACGTCAGTGTTTCTGTAGTTTGTTTCTTGCAGGACACCACTGCGCGGGAGATTTCTGTAACTGCCCAGGCTCTCTGCGGCACTGCTGGTATAGAAGCTTCTGTGCCAGATTCTGGCCAAACTCTGCCCTGTGACTCTTTGCCCGTCTGAGGGTCTGTCCCCCCACTCTGGCCCTACCTTACCTGGCTCAGAGGCTTTCCTGGGCTGGGCACTTCCGCTCCAGGGCTCACCTCATCTCCACCTGTGTTCAGGGCCTCATGATGCTGGTGAAACCGAGAGGTTTGGATCACAAGCCTGGTGTTGAGGAAGAGGCAATGAGATTTACAGACCTGCAATAACCACTCCTCTCCTTCTCCTTGCACAGCTTGGCTGAGAACCAGATCAGTAACAAAGGGGCCAAAGCTCTGGCCAGATCCCTCCTGGTCAACAGAAGTCTGACTGCTTTGGAGTAAGTAGGACACATAGGCCAACCTTCCACCATTGGGCCATGGACAGCTTGTGAGCCATCTCATGAAGTCACCTGGACCACACTCTCCCCTGGGTGGGGTGGAAGGACAGCTGAGCAAGCAAAATCCTGGCTCCTCCTCAACTGTTGGGACCGGCCCAGGGAGGCACCAGAATTTTGGCCCTGAAGCTGGCGTTATTCTCCCTGCTCTCCACACTTGGCCCAAGCCAAGTCCATCAAATCCTTCTTTCTTTGCCCCATCACATGGGGCCATACTGAGAAATTCCTTACTTGTTCACCTAAATAAGGATCTCGGCAAAACATGAAATCTTAAACCCCAGTACATTATTTTCAAGGAGCATAGATTTAAAGGTCATGTAATTTCTGTTCTTTTTTTTCACTCCCTGGGACTTGGATTCAAACAAACAAACAAACAAACAAACAAAAAATAGTTCTTTTTCTCTCTTCCTTCCGCCAGCCTCCGCAGTAACTCCATTGGACCTCAAGGGGCGAAGGCTTTGGCAGATGCTCTGAAGATTAACCGCACTCTGGCTTTTCTGAGGTATGTTCCATCTGCTCCCTGTCCCGGTGTAACCAGTAGAGGACCCAGAAAACCCTCTCCCAGGTGCCAACCATGGAGTGGGAGATGATTCAAAATGGTGGCCATGCTATACTGGCTCCCATCTAGGGGGATACTACATGATCTTGTATCCTACACAACTTTCAGGTTTCAGCTCTTCCCTGGTCATTGTCCCTGTGTTTACAGCCAAATCAGGGGATTGAGGAGGATGATGGAGTTGTACAGAAATGGAAAGGCAAGATAATCTATGAGGAAAACCTCTGGTCCTCCATTGAGTGGGAAACCCCCAAGGCCATGGTGTCAGAATGTTCCGCTGAGGTGTTTTCTAAGACAATGAAAAGCCCATCTTCCAGAATATTCCTATGGTTTGCTGTGGTTTGCTGTGCTTTTAGGGGCCTGTGGTTGTATCCATCCTTAGTTGAGTGTGTATTGTCATTTGTTTTTTCATTTATTTATTTTTACTGGGGTGAAATTCACCATTTTAAAGTATACATTTCAATGGCACTCAGCACATTCACAGTTGTTCATTCATCACCTCTATCAGGTTCCAAAATATTTCCATCACCTAAAAGTAGACCCTGTATCCATTAGCAATCACTTCCCATTCTCTACTCTCCGTGCCCCTCGCCACCCCGGCAGCCACCAGGGACTGCTGCTTTCTGTGTCTACGTTTACCTACTCTGGAGATTTCCTATATATAGAATCCTTCAATAAGACCCTTTTGTCTGGCTCCTGTTGCTGAGTGTCATGTCTTCAAGGTTCAGCCACATTGTGGCAGGTATCAGTGCTTCACTCCTATTTATGGCTGAGTCATACTCCACTGTATGGACAGACCACAATTCACCCATTCATCGGTTGATGGACATATGGGTTGTTTCCACCTTTTGGCTCTTGTGAATAATGCTACTGCACACATTCATGCACATATATTTGAGTACCTTTCCTCATTTCTTTGGGGCAGACACCAACCAGTGGAATCTGCTGTGTGATGTGGTAACTCTGTTTGACCTTTTGAGGAACTGCCAGATTGTTTTCCACAAGGTCTGCCCCATTTTACATTCCCACCAGCAATGGGTGAGGGTTCCAATTTTTCCACATCCCTGTCAACACTTGGATGCTGTGGCTTTTAGCTATAATTAAGACTATTGATAACCTAGTTATTGTTCTCCAGATGCCTTGGGCACCTTGTTCTCAGTCAACAGACAAATGCTTAGAAACCCAGAGGGAATGCTCAGGCCAGAGCAGCACTGGGAAGAACCAACTCTTCCCAAATCCTGTGTGGTGGGCAGTAAGCGCATGAAGCAGACAGCTGCCCCCCCCCCCCGCCCCCGTCCATGCCTTGGGCCTTGGTAACATTGCCGTAGAGGTTAAGGCCACCACTGGGCACCCTCATGTACGCCTTTGCTGATGCACTTCTTCCTTGCCTCCACAGCCTCCAGAGCAACTCGATCAGGGATAATGGTGCCAGGTCTGTGGCTGAGGCCTTGGCTGCCAACCGGACCCTCTCTGTGCTGCAGTAAGTGGACATGCTGACCAGCAGAGAGACCCTTCTTCTCTCCTCTCCTCCTCCAAGGGTCTCTCTGTCTGTTTTCTGCAAGGAAGGATGATTGGGGAGATGTCCTGAGGCTTTCTGACCCGTCCGGATGGCCCCTGGAAATTTTGATGTCCACTGTTTTCCATAGAACAGGTGTTGGAAAATAATTAAAAATAAAGCCTTCTGCCAATGCAGAGAATCCTCTCCACAAATGTAGTAAAGAATGAAACAGTTTAATTATTTGAATAATCAACTAGACTGCAGTGTACATCATTGGCTACCTACCAACGAGACGGCAAAGACAAAGAAATCTCATCCTTTCTCCAGCCAAGCAGATACAACCCATGATATGTATGTTTCAAGATAACTTGTCCTCAAGTAAGAGGACTGGACAGCACCAGTTGTTGCACATAGTTTTTCTTAAACCTGGTAGCTGGGGTGGCCAGCTGTTTACTAATTGCCTTTATCCAAAGGAAAAACCAAACTTCCCCTATCTTTATGACAACTTGGAATCATGCTATCTTCCTTAATGTGTACATTTCAAGGAGATGGCTCCATGGTCCCTATAAGCTGTAAATCTGGCAAGAGGTTTATTCAGCTTTTAAAAAGATTTACACACTTCTCAAAGGGACAGCTTTACCACTGCAAGTTTTCCCAAAGAAACACTGTAAGGGAAAGGGAGGTCTCTTTCCCTTTTGGAACCAGGGAAAATTCCCTTTTGCTTACATTGTATTTAGCCTTACACAAGATAGGTCCTGCCCTGCCTGTCCTCCTAGGATGGCACAGGGGCTCTTGGCAACATCTTCCTCCTCCAGATTTAGTATAAAGGGACGTAGCTGTTGGAGAAGGGCCTAAATGGAAGGTCTGCCCTAGGGAGGACTGCAGGGTTGGGAGGCAGGCTGCTGGTGGTCTAGAGGGAGGTAGACTGTTGAGTGTTGGGAGGGTTGACTGGGTGAAGAGCTAGAGGGACTCGTATGTGGAAGTCGCCACTCGAGAGGCTGCTGGGTATTTCGTGTCCTCTGATCACTTCCCAGCTTCTGACGAGGGAGGGCCCAGCTGTCCTTGCCTCCGACGGCCCCCAGAACCATGTCAGTCTGCTGACATCACTTTGGCAACAATCCACAGACCTTTCCTAGAGACCACTCTGCCAATGCTGTGATAAATGGAGAGGGCATTCGAGTAGTCTCTGAGCTCTCACCTTGAACCAGACTGTCCCTGGAGTGGGAATGGCTGTGGCCAGCTTTGCTGAAGACGCTTCTCCTCTCCCACAGCCTACAGAAGAATACCATCGGGCCTGTAGGAGCCCAGCAGATGGCAGATACCCTGAAACAGAACAGGAATCTGAAGGAACTCATGTGAGAAATGCAGAAAGGCCAAATTTGTATCCTCAGTGACTGGCACAATGCCCAGCCCATCATAAATATTTGTGAGCACGACGGATGGATGGATGGATGGGTGGATGGACAGATGGATGGATGGATGGATGGTGGTATGGGTGCAAGATAGCTGGCTTTGGACTCCAGATTCCTAGGATTGGGACTGTCTCAGACTTAAATTTACTGCCTTCCCAACACTTCCTGGCTACCTTCACATAAAGTATCACAAAAGAGTTGGCCCTGCCGCCCACTAGGGAGTCAAGTACTTTGCTACCTCGATGTCTTACAGGCCATAGGGAGTCACTTGCAGAGGCGACCAGCCACAGACTCAAGCCGAACGAGCTCTGCACTGGGCACCCTTAACACAACAGAGAAAGCACAGCCCTGGAGCGCTTCCCTGACCCTGATCCCAGGCCCCCCCTGCCAGGCTGCTCCAGAAACCCAGCTCATCCTTGTCTCATCTCTTACAGATTCTCCAGTAACAGCATTGGCGACGGAGGGGCCGGGGCCCTGGCTAAGGCCCTGAAGGTGAACCAGGGCCTGGAGAGCCTGGAGTGAGTCTGCCTGACCACCCTCCAGGAGTGACCGTGGGCAGTGGGTGACTCCCCTGGTTTCCCCATCTAGAAGGTGGGCGGGTCCTGGAGGAGGGCTGTCAGTCAGGACCATGACTTTGCCAGAACCCAACCAACCACCAACAGTGGGCATACTGTGATCTCAGTCTCTCTCCACGCCCACCTCACTGTTCCATCCCACCCCACCAGACCCATTTCCCTAGACAGTTGTGGTTGGTGCTGGTTGTGGAGTTTTCAGAGTGACAAGCACTGAGTGCCCTTGAAAAGCTGGCACAGGTGGCTAAAGAGGGTGTCGGCTGCAGTGGCCTTGGTGGGGGACGGGGGGGGCTCAGTGCTGCCCCCACATGGGGAGATTCAGCTGCACGACTTTCTGTGGGGGCTGCAGACACAACACACACTCCAACCCGGACTGTTTGGAGCCAGTCAAATCAAGGCAGAGTCTGAGCCTTGAGGCTGATTATGCTAGACCCAGCTGCCCTGACCTAGGTCTGGAACGTAGGGAATGGGGACAGGAAGGAGGGATGATGAGCAGAGCAGTGGGGGGGGGGGGGGGGGGGGGGGCACTTGCTCCCAGGGTTCCCCAGCTCTGTTGAACCTGACGCCTGCAGTCCCCAGGCTGGAGCAGTGCTCCCTGCGAGTCCTGGGACGGCCACCCCAAGCGTGCCCCGTCCTCTGTTTGCAGCCTGCAGAGCAATTCCATCAGTGATGCAGGGGTGGCAGCACTGATGGAGGCCCTCTGCGCCAACAAGACCCTCGTCAGCCTCAAGTAAGTCCCGCTTCCCTCTCCAGACGGGGTCTCCCTTTGGCCAAGGGGTCTGAAAGCACTTTGGGACTTGGAAGAAAAGCCCACACCTCCCACTGCGGGCCTGTTCTGAAGATAATCTATGGTTGGGCAACTTGGTTCTGGGCCCTGGCGTCCCGCACACTGCCTGCTCTCTTAGGAGGGCAGGGGACAGCTGGGGCCCTCAGCTCCCCAGTTCTGCTGCTCCCTTCCGGTACCCCAGCCCTTGAGGCAGCCAAGCCTGCCCCCAGCCCCCTTACCTCTGAGGGCCTGTCAACCAATCCTCTTCCTCCTGATGGGTCCCACTGTTGGCAGTCCTACAGGGCAAACACTTGGCTGGCTAGCCATGGGAGTCAGCTTGCTGGAGGCTCTTCACACCTCAGCCCTGATCACTCAAGAGGCCTTGAGGTTCCTTGGGCTCGAAAGGTCTGAGCACTGGGGCTTGTCTCCCCTAGAGTCCCCACACGTCTGGTCAGCAGCTCAGGGTCTTCTCTCTCCCCAGCCTGCGAGAAAACTCCATCAGCTCAGAGGGAGCCCGGGAACTGGCTCGAGCTCTCTGCATCAACAGCACCCTGAAGAACCTGGAGTACGTGAGTGGGGTGCAGGCTGTGCTTCCCACTGCCCCTTTAGCCGAGGGCCTGGCCTACCTAGAACCCTGGGGATGGGGAGAGCAGATCCTCATGGCCTTGCCACTTTACAGGCTGGAGAAGGACCTGGCTGGGGAGGGGTAGCCAGGAGACCTGGCCTCTGGTGGCAACTCCTCCACTCTCACGTCCTACGTTACCTGTGGACGCTGCCTGCCCCTTGCCCCCCTACCCACGGCAATGTGGGAGGGCCCATGTCTCAGGGGCAGCGCAGTACAGGGATCAGGTGGGTGATCTGTCCTGGAACCTCACTGAGCTGAACCTGGGCCCCTTCTCCATGTGCCTGCCAGGATTTGGTACAACAGCATAAGACACATGCTTGGCACACGCCGGTGCTCAATAAACATGAGCTAGGCCGGTCCTCAGGGAGGAGGGGGGCTAGATTCCTGGGTTAGTAAGTATGGGGGCTCCACGGCCAGCTAGCTCCTGCTTACTCACCCCTGTTCCCCTCCTCCCAGCCTGACAGCCAACCTCCTCCACGACCAGGGCGCCCAGGCCATCGCGGTGGCAATGAGAGAAAACCAGGCCCTCACGTCCCTTCAGTGAGTCTCTGGCACCTCCCCACCCCATCCCCTCTGCAGAGCTGCAGGGCCATCACACCAGCTCAGGCAGGAGAATAAGTCTGGCTTTGGGGCCCTTCCACAACACAGCCTGGGGGCCTCCAGGAGGCTGTGCCCTGCCCCCTGCTCTGTTTCCTGGGGCTGATCCACGGAGAGGCCAATGGTGGGAGGTGGGCACCCATGCCATGCCTCCAAGTGTCAACAAGCTTCATGCAGGGGCCATTTGGAGTCTTTGAGCCTGCCCCTGTGTCCACCCTTAACCAGAGAGTGCTTGTCAACCCCTTTTGACTAAACCTGAGGTGGGCTGCAAGAGATCTGCCCATCAGTGGCCAGGACCCCATCCTGCAAGGACTCCTTTCCTACTGCCAGACCCTCCTGGGAGAAGTCCCCTCTTTCTGGAGACTCCAGACCCTCCTGGGCTCTGCCCTGGGCCACGTGGTCACATGTGTCTGTCTCTGCCCAGCCTGCAGTGGAATTTCATCCAGGCCGGTGCTGCCAAGGCCCTGGGACAAGCACTACAGCTCAACAGGAGCCTGACCAGCCTCGAGTAAGTGGGGCCTCTGCAGGGGCTGCAGGAAGGACAGGGAACAAGGACATTTGAGACCTTGGTCCACCAGGCACACGGCTTGGGCCAGAGGCCCTCAGCACACAGCCTCCTCTGCCTTAAGGCCAGCAGGCACATTTCTGTTCTCATCTGCTCTAATAGCTTTATTGATACATAATCCAGGTACCACAAAAACTACCCATATAAAGTGCACAATTCATTGGCTTCTAGTATATTCACAGAGTCGTGCAACCATCACCACAATCCATGACCCCAAGAAGACACCCCAGACTCATTAGCAATCACTCCCCATTGCCCCCACGCCCCAGCCCCTCGCAACCAAACGTCGGCTCTGTCTCTATGGAGTCACCTGCACTTGACGTCTCATTCACATGGAATCATACCGTAGGTGCCTTCGCAACCAAGGTCTTTCATTTAGTGTCATTTCTTCAAGGGTCACCTGGGCGGCAGCTTGAATCAGAGCTTCATTCCTTCCTATGGCTGAATCCTAGTCCACTGTGTGTATAGACCACGCTGGGTTTATCCACTCATCCAATGATGGAATTTGGGTTATTGCCACTGTTTGGCTCTTGCTAGTGACACTGCTGTGAGCGTTCGTACACAGGTTTCTGTGTGGGTGTGTGCCTTCACTTCTCGTGGTTACACACCTGTAGTGGAACCGCTGGGTCGAAGGGTAACTCTGTCTTTCACCAGGATTTCCCACCTCTGGCTTGTTCTTCTGTCTGATTGACATCCTGGTGTTCCCTAGGGTTCTGTCCTAGGCTGTCTTCTCTTGAATGATCTCTTTTCCAGAAGCTCTCCTCTCCCAGGCTCCTGGCCTTCAGAGCCCTGGTACCCCCACGTCTATCCCCCAGACCTCTCTCCTGAGCTCCACACCCATGTCCTCCCTGCCCCCTCGGCATCTCCCTTTGGGTGCCTCGTGGGAACTTCAAACCGCTCCAACTCTCTGCCCACAAGCCTGCTTCTCCATCCCCACCTCATGAACGGAACCAGCCAGTCATGCAAGCTAGAAACACCACCTCTGCTCTCGCTTCCCACTTGCAGCTCTCCTCCCAACGTCCCACCATTTCCCTCTGCCCCCATGGCCAGCAGCATCACTCACCTGAGTCACTGCAGCGACGCCTCTACACCCAGTCCACCGTCTCACACTGCTGGCCAAAGATCTTTCCAAGACGTAAATCTGTCCCTGTCCTGGGTGAGAGACTTAAATGCTGCCCAGTGCCTCCAAGTGAAGGCCAACCCTTAGCGTGGCTTCCAAAGAAGGCTCCAAGGACCTGCTTCCTTTGTACCTCCTTGGCCTCTTTTCATGTGCCGGCAACTCGAGTGGATTTGGGTTCTACGGATGTGCCAGACCCTCTCCCCCACGCCATCCTTCAGGTTTTGGTTTAGACCTATTTCTTCTGGCAGTTTCTGTGACGACACAGGGGTGGGAGACCCCTTGGGGTCCTCCGTGCAGTTGGCACATGGCCTTTGGTGCCTGCTCGTTCAATCACAACTCCTCACCTGAGACAGTTCTGGGCCTGTACAATTGTGTGGACACAATACACACTCAAACATCTGTTAAAATTATTAACGCAAACTCTCCCCTAAACACACCGATGCCCACCTGAACTAAACTCTTAACCACTGACTGCCCTAGGACCTACTACTTTATTCCAATGTGGAAGGGAAGAAAAAAAAAAAAAAAGATGTAAAACACTGACCAGCAAGAATGGCCGGGGATTGAGGGCCTTGACATAATTCTCTGGCTGGCACATCCTTTTTTGTCCCTTTTCCATGTATCCCTTTTCTTGTTTGCTTCTGATGGTCCAGGTTCATGCAGACCCCAGAGCCCTCTGCATGTTAAGTAGGAGGCCCTGGGGACGGTTATCCCCAAGGCAACCCTGGGAGTCTAGTCCATGGTGTGCGTGGTCTGAATGAAATCTAGAAAGTCCCTGGGAGTCTAGTCCGTAGTGTGTGTGGTCTGAATGAAATCTAGAAGGTCCCTGGGAGTCTAGTCCGTGGTATGCATGGTCTGAAGGAAATCTAGGTCCCTGGGAAATCTAGTCCATGGTGTGTGTGGTCTGAATGAATCTAGGTCCCTGGGAGTCTAATCCATGGTGTGTGTGGTCTGAATGAAATCTAGAAGGTCCCTGGGAGTCTCGTCCATGGCGTGCATGGTCTGAAGGAAATCTAGGTCCCTGGGAAATCTAGTCCGTGATGTGCATGGTCTGAATGAAATCTAGGTCCCTGGGAGTCTAGTCCATGGTGTGTGTGGTCTGAATGAAATCTAGAAGGTCCCTGGGAGTCTAGTCCGTGGTGTGTGTGGTCTGAATGAAATCTAGAAGGTCCCTGGGAGTCTAGTCCGTGGTGTGTGTGGTCTGAATGAAATCTAGAAGGTCCCTGGGAGTCTGGTCCGTGGTGTGCATGGTCTGAAGGAAATCTAGGTCCCTGGGAAATCTAGTCCATGGTGTGCGTGGTCTGAATGAAATCTAGAAGGTCCCTGGGAGTCTAGTCTGTGGTGTGCGTGGTCTGAAGGAAATCTAGGTCCCTGGGAGTCTAGTCCGTGGTGTGTGTGGTCTGAATGAAATCTAGAAGGTCCCTGGGAGTCTAGTCCGTGGTGTGTGTGGTCTGAATGAAATCTAGAAGGTCCCTGGGAGTCTGGTCCGTGGCGTGCATGGTCTGAAGGAAATCTAGGTCCCTGGGAAATCTAGTCCATGGTGTGTGTGGTCTGAGTGAAATCTAGAAGGTCCCTGGGAGTCTAGTCTGTGGTGTGCGTGGTCCAAATGAAATCTAGAAGGTCCAAGCTCAGCGTGTCCTGCCACAGTGCTAGCATGGTGCCCTGTGAGCCCAGGGGTCACTCTCTGTGTTCAGTTTACAGGAGAATGCCATCGGGGACGAAGGCGCCTCTGCAGTCGCCAGCGCACTCAAGGCCAACACGGCCCTCACTGCGCTCTAGTAAGTGCTAACGTGCACAGCAGCCCGGGAGGCCGGCCCCGCACACTACACCTCAGTTTTGCCTTCCAGTCAAGGAAGGTGTGTTTGATTTTCCTAGTGTTAGCAATTGGGACATCGAACATATGGAAAGTAAGAAGTAGGGGCTCGGGGAGTGTTCTCCCTCGAACTCTCCAGGAGGCCAGCTCTCCTTGCTGTATCTGGAGCATCCAGATCTCTGTCCTAGGCTTCAGACAGTGCACGCAGGGGGCGCAGCGTTCCTTGGACAGATCACGGGCCAATAACCTTCAGTGCTGCGTTGCCACTTTCAGCCCTAATTCCAGGGGTGGTGAAAAGGAAGGACAAGTATGCGTGGATGCTGGGCCAGGCAGGGTGCGGGCTGGTGAGGCCTCTCCGCATTGACGCATCTCTTCCTCCAGTCTGCAGGTGGCCTCCATTGGCTCCCGGGGAGCCCAGGCGCTAGGGGACGCCCTGGCTGTGAACAGAACCTTGGAGATTCTCGAGTAAGTATTCCAGTCTCTGGCTATAGTCTCTTGCCCAAAGAAACCAAGCTGTTGATTTGAAATGAAGAAATGGAAGGAAAAAAAAAATGTCAATTTACATGGAAACTCACAAATCATTTAAACATCGTCCTTTAGATCAAGCATGCCCCAGCTTCCCCATTCCCACTGCATACCTCTTCCCTGGGAGTCACTACTGTTGGGCCTCCTCTCCTTGAGGACCTGCTCTTCTCAGCCTTGCCTAGGCTGCCCACGTCCCAAGGTCCTGTGTAGGGGTCGGGGTCCCTGGCCACTGACCTCAAACAATGAGAAGATCCAGACTCCTGGGGGAGGGGGTTAAGCTCAGTGGGGCTCTCAGGCATGTCCCAGTCATCCCTGCTCCTGTGGTCCTGGGATGCTGAGGATGTGAGGACCGCTGGATGAAGTGTTCTTTTTTTTTTTTTTTTTTAAGATTTTATTTATTTATTTGAGAGAGAGAGCACATGGGGGGGGGGGTCAGAGGGAGAAGCAGACTCCCCGCAGAGCAGGGAGCCCAATGCAGGACTCCATCCCGGGACTCCAGGATCATGACCTGAGCCGAAGGGAGTCGCTTAACCAACTGAGCCACCCAGGCACCCTGAAGTGTTGCCTTTCTTATCTCAGCCCCACTCTCCTTTCTTTGGGATGGAGGAGGGGGAGGGCTCCAACAAACCACCCAGATTTGTCCGATCTCCACTCTGCACCCAGGAGTGAGAAAGAAGCAACCTCACCCCCATGGTTGCTGAGTCCATGCTGCCTCTACCAGGAGCCCATGCTCTCGGAAGAGGTACAGTTTTCACCCCACAGCTGACACTGTGCCTTAGGCTTCATATCTTTCCGGACAGCTTACGAGGAAATGCCATCGGGGTGGCTGGAGCCAAAGCCTTGGCAAATGCTCTGAAGGTGAACTCAAGTCTCCGAAGACTCAAGTGAGTGGCTATAGAGACCTACCTGAGCCCCAGAGCAGCAGACTTCTCTGCTGAAACCTCCCCCATGAGAGGAGATGCTCTTGATTTCCTCGGTAGCTGCTTCCTTCCGAATATAAATAGCTCTGATGGCTAGAGTCCCTCTTGCAGATGGGTTTGTTCATTCTGTCTAGCTTATGCCAGAGCTAAGTCACTTAACATCTGCATTTTCGGTCTTGCCCCTTCCATGGCACTTGGATGGGACCACCCGGCTACTTGTAGACACTGGTCTCAGGGGTAAACACCCCCTTGCTGTGGACAAATCATCCCCAGAAGTGCATATTTCCTCCACGGCCCCCTAGGATAATGCAGTGCTGCTTCCTGGGGCGGGTTCTAACGTACCGAATAGCTCACGGTGGTGTCTCGATCTTTTCTCTGCCTAGTCTTCAAGAGAATTCCTTGGGGATGGATGGGGCAATATTCGTTGCCACTGCATTATCTGGAAACCATGGCCTCCAGCATATCAAGTGAGTGGGGCTCAGCAGCACCTGCCCTTCCCTGCCATTCTTGCTCATCCTTAGAACAACTCCCAGCTTCTCGGAGACAGCTGACTCCTGGGTCTTTCAGCAGCTCTGCAGGGAAACTTGGTATAAGGGGGAGCCATTCTGGGCCTTCTCCATGGGAGGGATCCGGGAAGCATGAAGGTCTTGGCTGGAGCTCTGCATTTCATGCTCTTTACTAAAGAGAACCTGCATGCCTCTAGGCCTTGAGCCCATCTCTCAAGTCCTGTCCTAATCCTTCTCTTGTAGTCTCCAAGGAAATCACATTGGGGAATCTGGTGCCAGGATGATCTCAGACGCTATCAGGACAAATGCTCCTTCGTGCATTGTTGAAATGTGAGCAAAACAAGTTCCTGGTGGACCTGGTGGGAGGACAGGTGGAGCAACAACTGGAAGCTTCTGAACGGAAAGACCATTTTCCAGGGTTCCTTCCTGTGGTCTGGGAATGATGCTGACCCACACAAAAGCTGGTCTCCTAAAAGGAGGCAGGAAAGATGCTGCCAAAGAGGTCAGGAGCACCTCTCCTGGACCCGGGTCAGTCCAGGCAGGGGTGAGATGGATTCTCTGCTACGGCACAGAGAAGGGAAGGTCTTAAAGCTCAGCAGATAAGAAGCCGGTGTGAGCTTATTTATACCCGGAGGTCTTCATGTGCCCCTAATTTTTATTATTATTGCCCTTCTCCACTGGTTAAAATCATCCCCCTCACTCTGAAACGAGCTGCCATCTTCAAGCCTATATAGAGGATCAATTTGGCATTGGTGACAGAAGGGACCTCTCTTTTCTCAAGAAAACTAGAAGGTCTTAGGAGTATGATCCTTAGACACATGGAAAAATTATGAGAATTTTTTGAAGAGAAATGAAGGATTTAATGACAGGATTCTAGAGACAAAGACAAAAAAAGTTGTCCAAGGTTCTTGCCATCTTTTATCCATTACAAAATCTCTCAAAGGCACGGATTATGTCTGGCATATATTATGTGGGGTCTGGCACACTGGTTATCAAGAGCACGTTAAATGTGGATGCCTTAGTAATGTTATTCTACATTGGGCTTCCCAAACCACTGTTATGCCTGCAGCTTCTCCATGAAGGCGAGCAAGCTGAGCCTCCATATGGTACAGGTTCCCTTGGGCATCTGTCTGTGATGAAGGGAAAAAGATCCTAATGGACACCACAGCTGTCATCCACTAAATAACCAAGGAAAATGCTTATGAAGATTATAATTATCATTTTAAAGTTTGAACAGGAAGCATTTTTGTTCCAAACATGCCTCTAAAAATGAGTGTTCAGGCAAGAATCCTCGATGGATGCTAAAACCATGGATGAAACTCTATCGAGGAAGAAGATAGCCACCCAGTCTCAAAATCTCACCCCACAAGGGATAGTTACGAAGGGGAAAAAGGTTATCTTTAAAGATGGACAATTTTGCATATGCTTTCTTAACAAAGTAATTAAACTTAACATCACCAATAATGGGATGGATGGACATAATGCGCCCCTGATGTGATGAACTGAGGACACACCATGTCAAAATACTGATTTGAATCTGATCAAGAAGGAAAAATTGGACAAAATCCAAATTAAGCAGCATTCTGCAATAAAAAAATAAAAACTAGCCTAACCTCTTCAAAAATGTTGATGTCATGAAAAATACAAAAGGCTGCAGACTATTTTAAATTGTAGGAGATTAAAGAGACATAACTACTTAATGCAAGATCTCTAATTGGATCCTCAACTGAAGAAAAACAATCAGCTATAAAGAAAAGTATTTGGAAATGGGGGACATCTGAATGTGGGTCTTGTGTTGTATTTATTTGGATTGCTGGGTTTTTAAAGCTTTTTTTGCTGGGTATAGAATTTTAGGCTGGTATTTGGCTCCTGGTACTTTCAAGATGCTGCTATCCTGTCCTCTGGTTTGTGCAGCGTTGGGCAGTGTCCACCTAGTTGCAACCTTGACGGAACAAGAGTTGCAGTAGGCAAATGGTGGAGAAAGCGGTGCCTTGCAGGAATCCAGCACCAGAGAAACCTCAGGGGCGATGAGAAAAATCATGCTCTCTGGGGACTTGACGAGCAAGCCACACCAGACAGGGAAGGAGAGCCCCTTCCTTCTCCAAAGTCTCCCTAGCAGCCTATTGACAAGGCCCACCCTCTTGCCAGCCAGCAAAGCAGAGAGGTTTGACAAGGACTAGCTCTACCACTGTAGGGCAGGCCAGAAGGTGAGCACAGCTGAGGCAATAAACCCGCCGGCGGGGTGGGACTTCTCGTCATTTCATTTTGAACAGTTCCTCTTGCTGTGTCTTCATGGTCAGCATATTGTTCACTTCCGTGGTGCCTCAAACCACAGTGCGTGTTTGCACAGTCTTTGTCTCACTTCTTTAATCTCTAGAAGTTCTGAGATTTAGGTCTTCCTTCTCTCTTCTTAATATGCTCATGCCTCCCTCCACCATCTCAGTATAGGGACGAGAGTTAAAAACTATCGGAATGTCCTTTTTTACTAAGTCTATCATCTGTCATTTCTGGGTCTGTTTCTTGATTTTTCTCATTATGGTAATTTTTGATTGGATACCAGATATTGGGAATTTTATCTTGTTTGGCTTAGATTTTTATATTCCTTACAATTCTTGAGCTTTATCCTGGGACACTTGCCTTAGAAACAGCTAGATCTTTTCAAAGCTTGCTGTTTTAAGTTTTGTTAGCCAGGATCAGCCATCCTTATTTGAGGGCTACTATGGCCCAACTTCTGGGGCAATGTCTCCATATTCTGGGTACTCTACCTGGTGCCCAAGTCAACAAACTGTTTGGGGCCTTATCTACAGCAGACACTATAGAAATCCAGGTGTAAAAGATTGTCACATCAACCAAAGCCAGCTTACCCTAAATGGTAGCATCAGGGGGCACCTGGGTGGCTCAGTCGGTTAAGCATCTGCCTTTGGCTCAGGTCATGATCCCAGGGTCCTGGGATCGAGCCCTGCGTCGGGCTCCCTGCTCAGCTGGGAGTCTGCTTCTCCCTCTGCCACTCCCCCCGCTTGTGCTCTCTGTGTCTCTCTCTCAAATAAATAAAGTCTCTAAAAAAAATGGTAGGGTCAGCCCAGCTGGTTATCTGGTGCGTATGTCTTCAATACACAGTATGGATTTAAACAGAATGACTCCTAATGAAACCTTCGCTTCATCAATTACACACACTCTCTCTCAGAGATTTAAGTCCTTCCCTTCCACAAGCTTGTTCCCTCCAGCTGAAAACTCATGCTCAAGTTTTGCTCTCAAAAAACAAAACAAAACCTCCCCCGCCCCTCCACAATGTTCTTCGACCACACATTCCTCCCCTGGCCATGCCCTCTTTCCTCTTGTGAGCGCCCACCTTTCTGAACACTCGTCAATACTCACTGTGTTCACTTCAAAGTCGAACCGCTCTTCGACCCATCGCTAGTTATGTGACTGCTCCTGGCTAAGGTCACCAGAGATTTCCTAACTGCTGATTCCAGGGGCCTCTCTGACTCAAGCTCATTTACGACAAGGATTTAGCACTTCTTTGGAGATTCTCCCCTGCTCTGGCTTCCCTAACAGAACCTTCCAGTCCTCCCACCTTTCCGTTACCCCTCTTCAACACTCTTTCGAAAATAGAACAGTTTTTCCTAACTATTAAAATAAAATATAGTCACTTTAGAAAACTTAGAAAATACTTTCCCAGTCTCTTCTTCTGGCTCCTTGTGGCCCTTGCCCCTGAGACACAGGCATTTCTCAGGCTTCCACCCTTGGGTCTCTTCGCATCCCACATGTTCTCCCCTGAGAAATCTCACAAGAAAATGATCCTCAAACCTCGGTCTCCAGCCCTTACCCTTTTCTTGTCTATAGATTTACCTTTTCAAAAATTCATGAAAACAATATTCATAGTAACACATAGTTTAAAAAGCCAAAAACTACTAGGCTTATAAGGGAAAACAGCAGTCTCTGTCTTGCCTCCCCCGCTTCCCGAATACCCCTACCCCCGAAACCAGAAGTCCTACATGTGCTATTTCTTGTCTTATCATCTTAGAGATTATCTGCTGACTTCTACATGGGAAAGGGCACTTGGATGTCCATCAGCTTACATCCCCATTTTTTGTTTCTACGTCCTTCCAACATACTTATTAGAGTATGATATTCGTTTAAATCATTAGTGTTTATCTTATGACTTGATTAGTATTCATTACTCCTGAGCCAGTCTCTCCTATATAATTTATTCTTTTTAGAATTAACAGTGCATCATTTAAAAACTTAATTTTCTATGTTACTCTTGCTTAATCCTTTCCAGATTGCCCAACAGAGGTGTCAAGTGAGAACCCTGTGTCTCAGACCCACGGGTTTCCCGTCAGTGACATGTTTCCCTGATGAGCGCTCTGTCCTCCCGGCTCCAGGAAGGGCTTCTGCTCTGGCCAGTTTCAGTTCTCTTCCAAGGCTGCCAGGCCCGGTTCCAGCACCTAAGAGTCCCCTGGGCCAATCCAACAGCAGGGATACTTATGCAGTGAGCTGCTGTCATCAAGGGACTCCGCTTCCTTTCAGACGGGTGACACTGAAAGTATAGTTTAAAATGCTAACGAAAGAGCGCTTGCAGGTCTTCTTCCCGTCCCGGCTAAAAGGGAGACAGTTCCTCGGACTCCCCACTGCAAGTCCTTGGACTCTGTTCTCATGGCTGCCACCAATAAAAATTAAGGACTTAAAAAATCTCTTTACATTTTCTGTCAATATTCATGTTGTAAAGCATTTTAGGAGGTCCTTTAATCACACAGTTTAAGACAGTAACAACTGTCGACAATGATCTAACGACTGGTTTTTCACTGACCTAGTCACACAGTCTTCTCTGGGGCACGAGTCAGCTCTGATGCTTGGCCAAAACCAATGGCACAAGGTCAAAAGGCACTTGCACACACCTGACTGCGGGGTCTGTCACAGTAGTGACAGACAGATGTTCGTAACTACGATCAGGTGCTTGAGGCTCCTTGGCTGACAGAAGCTGCTCTAAGGAAGTGCCATTCCATGGTGAGACTGCCCAACAGGTAACTAAGGGATGCCTCTGTCTGTGGAGGGGTTACCTGCGGCGCGGGCCACACTCCTGTGGTAATGCCCCCTAGAAGAAAGCATCCCATAAAGAAAATGGAAATTTATTATTATTTTTTTAAATATAAGGCAGGTCAGACTCAGGGACACCAAAACTAGAACATCCAAGAAGACGCAGTGACTTTTGCACCTTAGAAGCCACGGCACCTGAGGGGGTTGACATGGCTCCTGACACTCCCATTTCCCTTTTACGTCATCATTTCAACAATGGCATATCTCAAATCGCTAGTGAATTAGTTGAATGCTCAATGTTTAAAAAAGGGGGTAATCTCTTATGTAGGAATTAGGAAAAGGCAAAGAAAAAAGCAAAGATAGAAATAATTATCACGTCATATCTTAAAAATTTACATGTACCATAGTAACCTATAAACGTCTCCCAAGTATTTGTTATAAGTGCAAATAAAGAACGTAATTAAACTTTCAAGTAAAACTTATTTAATGATATAAAAACAAGGAATTAAATACATTTATTATGAGCCAAGTAACTTCAGAAGTCTTCTAACTTTATAAGTGAAAAATAAATGAAAACTGCTCTGTTTTCCATATCAGAAAAACAAAACAACTCCACCTGTTACTTCTCATTTCACATCAGGGTAATTATTCTAGTGCTACTCAACCTAATGCATTCTGGTTCATCTTTTTAGAGTCAGAAACACAAGCGTGTACCAACATTTCTTCTTTAATTTGCTTTCCTAAGGAGGAATGTCAACCTTCTGAGAGAAAATGGAGCATTTATATTCTGGAGCATCTCTCTGTTATCTGATCTTTAACGAAAGTGGGTTTTCATCTGACTTAGCTAACTTTCATTCAGAACAAGCTTGGTATTGTGAACATACAGAAGAAAATAAGACAACTAAATAAAAGCTAGAATTAAAAGCCGATATACAGTAAATGTCCAAAACTGTACGCTCCCCCACAATTCCTAAACTGAGTCCTGGTGCCCAGCCCCACGTCAGTCCCCCCAACTCTGAGAGGCAAACACATCACAACAACAACAGCCAAGACCTGACGGTGCCAACCCTTATTTCTCCTTGGGTGTTTGTCCCGTGCATGTGCATCTCTAAGAACACATGCATTCCCCAAGTTTCAGGACATAAATAAGGCAAAAAAACACATTCTCTTCGGGGCTTACTTCAGTTCTTATTGAAGCTCTGTGGAATAACACAGAGGAGGCTAAAGAACAACTAGGTGTTGCTTCATTACTGAGTCCAACTAGTTTAGTGAACAAAATAGGTTTCCTTCCTAACCTTCCAACTTCCTGTTTACCTATATAGATCTGAGGGATTTAATCAGTCTGGTCCCTTGGGCAAGAGGGTCAGAAGTCATTGTCGCTCTCATCCAGGGGCTCAGGCTTCCGGACTCTTCGACTGGGCTTAGCTGGCGAGAGAGCAACACTCTCATCTTCCAAATCGTCGTCTTCTTCATCACCCTCCATGTCAATCTCACTGTCCTCAGAATCCTCCTACACGAAGATAGCAAAGACAACTGAGGGCCTGTCTCATTAGCCACAGCTTGTCAGCCGAGACCCTTGCTCACCAGCAGCTCAGTAACAAGCAATGCCCGCATGTGAAGGAAGAGCTGGGCGGAGCAGCAGTCAGGCTGTGGGGGCGTGAGAGGGGGGTCCACGTCCCACACTGCTGGCGGAAATACAAACATAACTGGCTCAGTTAACCAGTGACTTTCAGACACCAGTGTGTAGCCATGCTTGGTGCTGCAGGGGCTGGCTTTCCCACAGAGGTCTCAGCAACATCACTGGATCTGCACCGCAGCTCACCGGAGGCTGCTCTGCCCCTGGGGGCCCAGACACCCTCCAGGGGACAGCAAGGAGGGTGGGGCTTGGAGATTAGGAGGGTTCATTTTTTTTGTTTGTTTTTTTGCCTTTTACCAGATTAGGGATGGAAAGCCACACAGGAAATGGGCATTAGGAGCAAAATAAAAGGAACACTCTCTCCATCACCTAGATCTAGGGTGACCAACTCAGCCAGGTTTTAAAACTGCAAGTCCTGTGTCCCAGGTAAACCAAGATGGCTAGCCACTCTAGCTAGATCATTCCCACCAGCATACATACATGCTACTATTTCCTTCTTCTTAAAAACACAAAACAAAACAAAAACCCCAAAGTTAATCCCACCTTCCTCCCCAGCTGCTTTGCCCTGTTCTTCTACCCACCCCTGCAACAACAAACTCCTTGAAGGAGTTTTGAACCCACCACCTTGCTGGTTCCCTTCTCACTGCCTCCTCAAAACACTCAGCAGGCTTTCACCTGCCAATCTACCGAAACATTCAGCGGATTCAAATCCCGTGAGTGAGTCTCAGGTGTCTCGTGACCTCTAGGCTGCATTGGGCACAGGACGGCTCCTTCCTCGAAAACCACTCTGCTGCAGGGCACCCTTCTCTCTGGGCACTCGCCCCACCTCACTCCACATCTTCGCTGTCTCTCATACCCCTACGCCCTCCATCTCCATGACTCTGCAACTGGCTCAGTTTAGAGTCTTGGGCCTCCTCTTCTCTTGCTACTCTCTCCCCCACACCATCACATGTATCCTGGTGGCTTGAAGACCACCTAATTATGAGAGCTCCCAAATTCAACTCCAGCCCAGACCTGACCCTTGCACTCTAGACTTGAATTCCAACTGGCTACTCAACCGCAGCATGTGGATGGCTGGCAGGCCGTGCATGGGTAGAATGTCCAAAACCAAACTCCTGCTCTGCTCTCCAAGCCCCTCCTCAGGCCTGCCCTATCTCGGGGAAATGCAAACTCTATGTATACTATTAGCCCATTATGACACAAGCGAGGCCTCCTTCACTTCTTGCTCTCACACCCCATGTCCAATTAACAAACCCTCATGGTTCTGACCTTGGAAACATCCAGAATCTGACCACTTCTTAACACCTCTGCTGCCACTACCTCAGGCTGAGCCGCCAGCACCTCTGGACTAGTGCAAATGCCTCCTGATGGGTGTCTCTCAATGCCAGTTAGCTCTTGGCACTACTGGGCTCACGATTTCCATGCCCACTGCACTCAGAGAAAACTCCGGGTCCTCATCACGTCCTGCAAAGCTCTGCACGGCCCCTACTGCCTCTTACTGCTCCTGCCCCCAGCCCACTCCATCCCAGTCACGCCACCATCTCTGGTCCTCCACTGCAGGAACCCCATTCCCTGGGCCTTGGATGCCCTTCCCTGCACCACAGCCCTCCTTCCATTCAGGCCTCTGCCCAGTGTCACCTTACCAGAGAGACATGCCCTGACTGATCAAAAGACATCAATCTCCTCCTTCAACCCTGTCACTCTGTTCCCCGAACTGCTTTTTCTTCTTGCCATTATGACCCGATGTATCCAGTTGATTACCACTAGAACGTAAGCTCCCTAAGGGCAGGGGTGTATTGCCCATAATCTGTAACAACACCTGCACATAACAGGCACTCGGTAAATATGTCAAGTGGAAGAGTGAGCACACAGGGGACAAGCCCGTGTGCCTGCGGAATGTGTGCAGGCAGCCTCCTGGAAGCAAACAAGCGGCACGAGGCACAGGGGAGATGTAAGCTGTAGCCTGGGCATTCGTTCTGAGAAAGCTATGCGCATGACCAAGCAGATCGGAAGACAAGGGACCAGATGGTGCTGTCCAGGCATCCCCAGGACTCACACCAGACTTCTTACTCCTGCCTCGAATGGGTAAGATGGATGGGCAGAAGCTACCTAACCACCCACCCCTGACTATTAAAAAATGTTTGAGGTGGTTTCTCTGCTTCTCTAAGACTACCTTCTGTGATTTCAAGGCTCAATCTTCTCTGTGCATCTTGGCCAGCAAACCTGAGTGACCTTTCCCTCTGTGGAGTTTGGTCACAAAATCCACTGTTGGCACTAAATAAAGGGATCTTTTGTACAAGAATGTCAGGCTCACGCTCTGCCCCTCTGTAGCCACTAGGGCCATGCTCCAGACACACGTGGCAGATGACCTGATGAGGAGGTCTGGGGTCTGTGGGCACAGCTTGCCAGAGACTGCCACAAAGAAAGCAGACCCAGGGTGATGGATGGGGCAGCCCTGGCAGCAGGGCCCATTCCAGTGAGTTTCCCAGTCAGTATTACCTCAAGGACACTCAAGGCACCAGCAGCCTGATGTCGCAGCCTCCTGCCCAGCCTGAGGCTCTTGTCTCAAGAGAGCCTCCCTTTCCTGTTTCTTCCCCAGAATGGAACTGAAGAGAGGGCTGGTCTTGGCCTGGGGTTCCCAGGTTCCCTTCTCAGCAGGTTCCCTTCTTTTCCAAGTTATACTTCAAGGTCCTGATAACCTTGGCTCAGCACTCAACCCTCCTCTCCTGCCAGGGACCTTTAGGCAACTGCACCGTTCACTGTAGGCCTGCTGTGCATGGCTCTTGCCCAGCAAGAGGCATCACTGCTGGGGAAGGCTCTCTGGGGGCCCTAAGCTGGTTAACTAACACACACACACACACACACACACACACACGAGATGAAAAAGAAAACCAACCTGCTTCTTGGAGCTGGAATTCTTGCATTTACCTAAGAGAGCTGGTGCTGCTTCCATCTTTAGAAAGTGAGAATGGAAAGAACAGTGAGAAGGAAAAAAAAGGGGGGGGAGGGCAAGCATATTCATTTGAAAAGAAAAGAAAAGAGCCATCAACAAGCAGAGAAGAGTCCAGCTCCTTGGGAGGCTGAACTCTGGAGCACACCCAGCAGCGGGCCAGGCTGAGAGGCAGCCCCTCGCATTCAGCTTGTCAGCTCAGCTAGTCTATGAGGCCAGCCTGAGACCGGGAAGAACAGAGCTGCTAAAGGGAGCTGGTCGGGACTCACGTCGTCATCAGAGTCTCCGCCCTGCATTGTGCCCACGATGCGTTTGCCGGGTCTTCCTGAGGAGAACCAAAGCATGAAAAAATTAAGAAAACCTTGTTAAAAAAAAAGAAAGAAAAAGCAAGGAATGGCATTCAAGACTTGTTTCCTTTAGAAAATTGGGAAAAACAAGAATCAACTAAGACATTTACTTAAGTCGCATCCAAATAATCAAAACTGCCAACAAACAGTAATGGATTTTCTACATTTCCACTTAGAAAAAAAGGAAAAGGGTAATAAAATATAATCACTACTCAGAAACCAGAAAACTAAATATGCATCCTGTACAAGTTTAAAAAAAAAAATCACTGAATCCCAGGGTGGTTCTATTTTTACTTTTTGAGGAACCTCCACAGTTATTTACCCCAAAGATACAGATGTAGTGAAAAGAAGGGCCACATACACCCCAATGTTCATAGCAGCAATGTCCACAATAGCCAAACTGTGGAAAGAGCCGACATGCCCTTCAATAGACGAATGGATAAAGAAGTGGTCCATATATACAATGGAATATTACACAGCCATCAAAAAGGACGAATACCCAACTTCTGCATCAACATGGATGGAACTGGAGGAGATTATGCTAAGTGAAATAAGTCAAGCAGAGAAAGTCAATTATCATGTGGTTTCACTTACTTGCGGAACATAAGGAATAGCACAGAAGACATTAGGAGAAGGGAAAAATGAAGGGGGGGAAATCAGAAGGGGATATAACCCATGAGAGACTATGGACTCTGGGAAACAAACTGAGGGTTTTAGAGGGGAGGGGGGTGGGGGGGATGGGTTAGCCCGGTGATGGGTATTAAGGAGGGCACATATTGCATGGAGCACTGGTTATTATCTGCAAACAAAGAATCATGGATCACTACATCAAAAACTAATGATGTACTGTATGGTGACTAACATAATGAAAAAAAAAAATCATCGGATACTGCTCTATCTATGTGGTAGAACAGCTCTAGTATCTGCTGAAAAAAGAAATGCAGTCTCCCTGCATGGACCAATGTTACTTGTATTTGAATCTATGTCTGAGCTCCAAAGAGGAAAACTTTTGAGGCTCACCATTAGTTCATCTTTCAAAACACCCACAGTATCTCAGTGATTCTCCACTCTCCTCTGGAAATCACAGTTGCCTAGCTGTGACTTCTGCAAACACCCAGGAACCGTCCTTCCTTGGCGGGAGGCAGACAGTTGCCCTCACACCCGAGGCTGAGAAAGGGGCACCCAGGACCCAGTTCCATGCTGCGCGAGGGGCAAAAGCAGAGAGGGGAGCTCACAGAGGAGCTCACTCAGGACAGGCCTGGGGTGACCACCAAGAGCTAATTATAGACTTCCCTTGGTCAGATAAAATGCAAATGCAAACCTTATGTTGTCTAAAGCCCTTATTTATAGTTCTTAGATTTTACTTCTGGTGGCTGAGCGGTCAGCAGAATTTAGGAGCACCAGTGCCTTTATTAGGTTCTCCTGAGCCAATCACATACCTTTTCAGAGCCTCAGCTCCCATCTATAGAATGGGAGTCATAACCTCTAACCTCTATTTATATCATGAACCTGTTAAAAAATAAAAGGAAAGGGGCGCCTGGGTGGCTCAGTTGGTTGAGTGTCTCTTGATTTCAGCTCAGGTCATGATCTCAGGGTCAGGGGACCGAGCCCCACGTTGGGTTTCACACCAGTGTGGGGTTTGCTTCAGATTCTCTCTCCCTCTCCCTGTCCCCCATCCCGTGCTCGCTTGCTCTCTAAAATAAATTTTAAAACCTTAAAAAAAAAAAAGAGCAGTTAGCAGCAAAACTTAATATAAAGTGAAGATAATTTGCCTCTGAAATGTACCGTGTATATAAAAATGCAAACTGCTCCAAATATTAACAGATGGTAGACAGATGTTTTAAAGGCAAATATAGAGCAATTTAGTAGTATCTATCAAAACAGAGATTTATATAAACTTTGACCTAAGAATCCCACATCTAATGGTATGAACACTGCAGACAAGCAGAAAGATGTATATACAAGGAAAAGAGGAAAATAAATATATATTTTTAAAAAATATCTTTTAATATGGGAATGCCCAAGTAAATCCTGGGTATGGTCATGCTATGGAATACTACACAGCTGTCAAAAAGAACGAAGCAGATTTCTAGTTTACTGACATGGGAGGAGTTGTTCTAATATATTTAATAATAATTTTTTTAAAAAAAGCAAGTTGCAGAACTATACAGAGTCTGGTCCCATTAAGTTAAAAAATGTCTTAGGGGGGTGCATGGGTGGCTCAGATAGTTAAGAGTCTGCCTTTGGCTCAGGTCATGACCCTGGGGTCCTGGGATCAAGCCCCACATCAGGCTTGCTCAGCGGGGAGTCTGTTTCTCCCTCTCCCTCTGCCCCTATCCCCCTGCTCATGCTCTCTTTTTCTGTCTCAAATGAATAAATAAAATCTTAAAAAAAAAAAGTCTCAGCTGATCTTTGTGTATTTCACGGTATGTGTGTGGAAAGGCAATTTGGAAGGACACATCCCCAAGCCACTGACCAGGACCCCTCTAAGGTGGAAAGTAGGGCATGAAGAAGACCCTCGGGGAACACCCACATTTGCTCCACAGATTTTTTTGCTTGAGTCTTTAGCAGTGAAAAAGTAGAAACTAAAAGATTTTTTAAATGGCAGAGATGGTTGTCTGAGTCCTTTCTCTGTGCATTAGTTCTCTGATTATAGGGGATGCTACTGCACTGAGAGCCGTGTGGACCCAAAGTGGGTAGAACACAGCTCCGTGGCAGAAGCCGTGTATTCCCGTGGCCTCTGTGAGAAATCCCAGGCCACAAAGAAGAATCAGCTATTCTTGGGACCATAGGTAAGAGTGTTAGCAGCAAAGGTGACCACTGAGCAGTTTAAGAGCTGAATCCTGATACACAGGAGGCCAGTGTTCTGTGACAGGGCACAGCGGGGAGGGCAAGCGAAAGCAGCCGTGGTACCTTGCATGAGCACCTCCATGGCCGTCCGCGGCTTGGACAGCTGCCTCTCCTCCAATTCACTGTCAGATTCGTCATCTTCCTGGATGTCAATGTCTGAGTCATCATTACCTGGGAGAACACAAGTATGCAAAACAAAAGGGCAGCTCCATCATTACCGCTAAAACAGCTCCTATCCACAAGGCTCTTGTGCAAAACCATCTACACTTCTCAGTCTTTCTTTTAGTGCATTAGATTTTGAGAGACTCAGGATTTGCCTGTAGATACTTAGGAGTTACTGCAGACAATGATATACTGGTTTGCTTTTTTAAACAATCTTCCACAGCAAGACAAAAGTGGATCAGAATATATCAATTAGAAACACTCTGGCAGCTGAAACTAAAAGTTGAATAGCCAGCTGTCAAGGTAGTTCAAAGTTCTTGGTTAGTTTGGGGGGGAACCACTCTCTGTTCAGTATTAGGTGATGTTACCCCAACCTGAGCTCTTTGTGGATAATGAAGATGAGGAAGCGGAGCCCCCTGAAAAGGTGAGTGACTGTGCCAAACAAGCCTGCAGGGAAGACGGAGACCAGGCCAGGAATGGCCGAGCACGGCTGGCCTGAGAAAGATGGCGACCTAATGAGTGGCAACAAGAGCTGGTACTCAGGATACTGCTTCCGGGAGAGAATTCATCATAGACAAATATAAACAGAGATTATTCTCAGTGCAACAGCCTTATACATTAATTTCTTAAATACTCTCCTGGAGTCAGGTTGGACATTTCCTACAGTGAATCTATAGAAGGAGAGTTTCCACAGTGGAGAGAAAAAGCTTTCACTGACCAGCCTGATTCCCTGCAACCAGAGAGAGACACTGGTTTTGGAAGGACGGAACTGGAGGAGTTTGCAGTTGCTGTTCTGATCACCGAGTCAGAAGTCAGTTTGGAAGGATAGTAATTGTGCATCTATGAAAAGGCTTCGCTTAGCCCCTGTGATAGGGGGTAATGCAATGGCAGCTGCATCTAGCTGGGCACCAAGGGAAAGTGCTCTGCTTTCTTCACCATGGAGGGAAGAGCTGTGCTCTCCAGCATGGAAGGGCTAACCTTGGAGCCAGGGCAAGTGTGAGGAAGAGCACCCTGCCCGGGCCTCAACACAACCTATCTGAAAACTACCACCTTACAAAAGCCTATACAGAGAATATGGTGAAATATTAATACAAATTCATGACTATAAATTGAAATTACTATTCAACTTTGCTCACTTTCTATTTCATCCAGGAATATTATGATATTATATCATTACCTCATGCAATATAAATCAAGTATTACAAATTTTAAAATATCAACATGTTTCTCAGGCTCAACATGATTTCTTCTGACAAACTCCAGCCAATACACTAAATTAATGCATGCTGACACTGAAATCACCGAGTTATAGTGATGCATTAAAATTAAGTATGGCAGGGGCACCTGGGTGGCTCAGTCAGTTAAGCATCTGCCTTCAGCTCAGGTCATGATCCCAGGGTCCTGGGATCGAGCCCCGCATTGGGCTCCCTGCTCAGCAGGGGAGCCTGCTTCTCCCTCTGCCTGCCGCTCCCCCTGCTTGTGTGCTCTCACTCTCTCTCTCCAATAAATAAAGTCAAAGCCGGTGTTGGTGGTATAGTGGTGAGCATATAGCTGCCTTCCAATAAATAAAGTCTTAAAAAAATAAAATAAAATAAAATAAAATAAAGTATGGCAGACAAGAGCGCCCATAAAATTCAAAGAAGAAAGAACAGTCTTTCCATTTTTGGTGCTGGAACAACTGGATAGCTACATGCCCAACAATAAGGTTGGACCCCTACCTCACTCCACATGCAAAAATTAACTCAAAATGGATCAGAAATCTAAATAAGAATTGTAACTATAAAAGTCCTGGAAGAAAACCTAGGGATAAATCCTGGTGACCTTAAATTAGGCAGTGGTTTCTTAGATATGACACTAAAAACACAAGTAACAAAAGGACAACTGATAGTGTGGACTTCATTAAAACTTTGTGCAGCAAAAGCCATCACCAAGAAAGTGAAAAGATAGTCCAGAGAATGAGAGAAAATATTTGCAAATCACAAATCACATAAGGATCTAGTATCCAGAACACATATAAGAACTCTTGCAATTCACTAATAAAAAAATAACCCAATTTGAAAATGTCCAAAGGACATGAATAGACATCTCTCCAAAGAAGATCTACATGAATGGCCAATGAGTAAAGAAAAGATGTTCCATTTCATTAGCTATCAGAGGAACTCATATCAAAACCACAAAGAGATATACTTCATACCCACTTAAACAGTTTCTTTGTGTCTCCTTTGAGATCAACACAGTCCAACAGAAATGTAATGCCTGCTGGCAGATGTAATTTAAAATTGTCTAGTAACGGGCGCCTGGGGGGCTCAGTTGGTTGGGCAACTGCCTTCGGCTCAGGTCATGATCCTGGAGTCCCTGGATCGAGTCCCGCATCGGGCTCCCTGCTCGGCAGGGAGTCTGCTTCTCCCTCTGACCCTCCCCCCTCTCATGCTCTCTGTCTCTCTCTCTCATTCTCTCTCAAATAAATGAACAAAATCTTTAAAAAAAAATTGTCTAGTAACTACATTAAAGTAAAAAGGAACAGGTAAATTAATTTTAGCAATGTTTTACTTAACCCAATATGTCTAAAATATCATTTCAATAAGTGAACAATGTAAAATATTAATTAATGAGTAATTTTACTATTCTATCATACTAAGTCTTCAAAACCTGGTGTATATTTTCCACAAACACCAAACCTCAATTTAGACCAGCCACACCTGAAGTGCTCAAGAGTCACACATGGCTTGTGGCTAGGTACTGGGTGGCACAGTTCTAGACTCTGAGCTTCCTGAGTACCTCATCCATCACTGTGTCCCGAGTACTGGCACAACGCCTGACATGCAGTAGGCATGCAGTAAAATAAGTGTAAATGCAGGAACATCTGCTCTTCACTACACCATAAAAACCACAGCAAGGTTACTAAAGTGCTTTCTAGAAATTTCTGGGTCATTTTATGAATTTACCACCAGCAGTGAGGTTTAAAAGGATGGTGAGAAGATGAAGGCTGCCCTCCTATTACAGAGCATCTGAACAAAATACTTGGCCTTTTTAATCTCTGGGGCCCCTAGGGCATTCTCCTGTCTCTAAGCACTCAGACTTTCTCTCTCTTCTTCAAGTCCCTTCCTCCAAACCACAAAGCCAATTTGGTGACTTCACCTCCTGCTCAACAGAGAAGACAGGAGCATCAGATGGGAGCCCTCTGGCACATGATCCTTCTTCCAGCTTGTCTGTCCTGCCTGAGTTCAAGTCCTGTATTCACACATTTAGCAAAACTCATCGCCTCACTGGGCTCTGGTTCCCATCCTCTCTTACAGACTCCCAGGACTCTCCTCATCTGGTACCTCCTTTCTCCTCAGATCCACTTACTTAGGCTTTGGTTAAATAGCATCTCCTAATGAGGCCTACGCTGACCCCCTATTTAAAATGCAATTCCAGGGGCGCCTGGGTGGCTCAGTTGGTTAAGCGACTGCCTTCGGCTCAGGTCATGATCCTGGAGTCCCGGGATCAAGTCCCGCATCGGGCTCCCTGCTCGGCGGGGAGTCTGCTTCTCCCTCTGACCCTCCTCCCTCTCGTGCTCTCTGTCTCTCATTCTCTCTGTCTCAAATAAATAAATAAAATCTTTAAAAAATAATAATAATAAAATAAAATAAAATAAAATGCAATTCCATCCCATCCTCCCCATCCCCTTCTCTGCTCTACTTCCCCTCCGACGCCACCGCCCCTCCCCCAACCAGGGCATTTTTCACCTTCTGCTTACAGCTTGCTTGATGTTTGTCTCCTCACTGGCAAGTAGACTGGTTAAAGCAAAGGTCCCTGTCTTTTGTCCACTAACGAATCCTTTGCACCCAGAAGAGATATTCAACAATGCTTTGTTGCACTTAATCAGCTGCCTGCAGAGTGGTCTAAACACGATGATCTCTTCCACCTCCTGAATTTTGCTCATTCTTGCCCCTAATTCATGTCCATGTCCTATTAGGTTTTTCTGTTCAGAGAAGTCTTTCAGAAAGTCTTCCTTTTTATATCTCCCCCCAATCCCAATTCTCTGGTCAATGTTCCCACATATATAGCAAAGAAAGACAGAACACCTTAAGAACTTCAGGGTGAACAGAACTGAGAATGGTCCTTCATATTTTCCTAACTTCTTTGCCTACCCCAAGCTAATTAAGTGTTATCCTTTATTCAGTTGGTTTAAATTGGAAATTATTTTTCCAAAAAAAGGAAATCAGAGATGCTCCTATGAATGCTTGTCCTTCAAGAGATCCCAAACCTATGGATAACAAAATTAAAGTGTGAGTTCAGAAGACTAAATCAAGATCAGTGAGAAAGGTCTTACACGCTGGCCCGGGAACGGAGCAGGGTACAGCCAACCAATCAGGGCTCTTACCTGTACCGGGCCTCTCAGGAGGGGATAAACTCCATGCAGACTTATCACTTAGGGCCGCTTCAGGCTCTCCTGGCTGACCTGGAACCATAAAGGTGAGGGGCTGCTTTGGCTAGAGAGGCCCTTGGAATTCCCTAAACTTGCCCCTAAAGGATTTTCCAGCAGTCCCTATTCTCCTTCCAGAGTTTCCTGAGATTTAGGAGAGAGAGGCATAGAACAAGTACAAAAGGAGACAGAGAGCTCACGCACAAGCCTGAAGTTCCAGGTAAAGTATCCTCAAGCACAAGAGAATAAAATATTTCATCATAAAAAAGAGAGCAATAAGCAAGAGAAGGAGGCACCCTGAGACACGTAGCACGAAGAATACATCATGAAGACCATGCGCTGCTACGGCTCCCGAGCCTGACCTGACACCTCAGTGAAGTTCGAGGAGAAGCTCACTAACCAGCGACGGAAAACAGTCCTCCCCAGCATGGAGCTCCTATAGATAGGTAACCCCCATTTCCCTACAGACAACAGCCTCACTGAACCATCTTGGATTACTGGGGGACCTCTGACGGGTAGGTAGGTAGGGGGACCCATTCACATGCACAGCATTACGACACTTGCTTTCTATCAGTCTGCCCTAATGTAAGGAACCCTACAGACCTCCAAGACCCAGTTTTCTTTCATAGTTACATATTATACGCAATTCAAACTAACAGTATCATTTAAACAGGAAATCATTTCTTATCATTGACAAGAAAACCAAAGTGCTTTAAATGTTATGTAATTTGAACCAGCCTCTTAAGCTCTTGCATGAATTAAAATGGTACCTGATACAAAACTTGTGAGAAAACTGCCTTTTGAAAATAAATAAAATAGACACAAAGATTTTTCAAGGCTACTGCCGCCCGCCCAGAGGAAACAGCCCCATCTGTGAGCGCGGCCTTACTTCCACTCCGGAGCAGGCGCTTCTCTTCCTCCTTCAGCTTGTTCTGCATCAGGCGCAGAGTGTTTTCAGCTTCCTATGGGACAGCAAACACAAGACTCAGAAGAGAGGACCCTTTTTTGGACTGTTTTATTCTTCTTTAGAATTTGGGTAAGTAGGGCTAAGTCTGTACTGCAGAACCAGCGAAGATCTAAACGGCACGAAGAGAACGAACACCGCCTGAGCAAGGAGCAGGGCCAGACCCCAGGGCCCCCGCTCTCCACCAGCAGGAGCAGCCCAGACAAAGGAAGGCAGCCAGAAGCGGTGCAGATGGCCCTCTGAGCCCTGCAGAGAACGGAACAACGCGGTGATAGGCCATCACATGCGATCACGTGTGCCGCTATGGGATGTAAACACAGGAACAAATCCATCAACTACGGGCCTCCTGCTCCTAAAGACTAAAGCCCTGCACAATTCCAGCCCCAAAAGATGCTAAATGGTGAGACTGATAAGGATGAAAGGAGAAAGAAAGAAATACTAGTCTAACTCCTAGGGGGACAAAAGCTAGTGCTTCAGCTGGGTTACAAAATGTGGCCCTGATTACCATCAAAAGAGAGAATGGGAGAGGAGACTGACTTTTAAAACTTTGCTATTGTTCTAAACATTAAAAAGAGAGCACTGTTTCATGCATGAGATAGCCCTAGGGGCCAGATGCTATAAGCATAGAGAAGAGAGGAGAGCACAGGAGAAAGGAGCCAAGTAGCTGCTGAAGGATGGAAGGAAGAACACGCATCCCGAGGCAAGTTCTCTGGCACACTCTGTGCTCGTAGCGGCCGCCCCACATGATAGCACGAAATGCTCATTTTACCTTCACTGGCCCTTTTCTGTTCTTTCCCAGATACCCAACTTTTAAAATGTCCTGAACTCCTGGCTCTTTTCACTGCCCTCAAAACATGCCTGTCCTGGACCCTGTTGCTCCGCAGCCTGCCCCTAACCTAGAGCAATGGTGGCAATGGGCTCCTTGTTGAGAGAAACTCGTCCACAGGAGTGCAGCGGTTACCCCCAGCCAGGCCTCTTGTACCCCAGAACAGCTTCACCTCATTCAAACACCCAGGTCTGTAGGAAGGCTACCATAACCTTTATACCAAAAGCTGTCGAGGACAGTGTGAGAAAGGGAGACTGTAGACCAATTTCATCGTGAACACAGATTCCAAGCGACCATTCTTGGGTTAAGCAGAAATATCCCCAAGGGATTAGGGCAATTCAAAAAGTGATAATACGGGCGCCTGGGTGGCTCAGTCGTTAAGCGTCTGCCTTCGGCTCAGGTCATGATCCCAGGGTCCTGGGATCGAGCCTCGCATCGGGCTCCCTGTACCGTGGGAAGTCTGCTTCTCCTTCTCCCACTCCCCCTGTTTGAGTTCCCTCTCTCGCTATCTCTCTCTCTCTCTGTGTCAAATAAATAAATAAATAAAGCTTTAAAAAAATAAAATAAAAAGCAGTCTCTGATAAACTGGTTTGGATGGGGGCGCCTGGGTGGCTCAGTCGTTGGGCGTTTGCCTTCGGCTCAGGTCATGATCCCAGGGTCCTGGGATCCAGCCCTGCATCGGGCTCCCTGCTCCGCGGGAAGCCTGCTTCTCCCTCTCCCGCTCCCCCTGCTTGTGTTCCCCCTCTCGCTGTCTTTCTCTCTGCCAAATAAATAAACAAAAATCTTAAAAACAAAAACAAAAAACTGGTTTGGATGATTCAATTAACAAGGGTCCCTGAAAATCTTTCACTAAACTGACCAAGCAAATTTTTAGATCTTTACCCAAGACCAGTTACCTACTCTTGGGACTCAGTGCAAATTAAAATGCACTTAAAAATTATGAAGAATTTCAAGCCAGTGACAGCACAGCATTGAAGCAAGCACTGGCCCTTCTGAGTCTTGTGCAATGACACAGGTCACGTGTGGGTCCTGTCCGCAGTCCTAACCGACCAAACCCACCAGAGAGCTGACAACCCTGGAGGCCAGGCTACACTGACAGCAAAACAAAAGAATTCCATGAGCAATCCTCAGACTTGATCAGGGAGAAAAAACATTCACAGATTTTTTTTTTCTACAATGATATTTACAAACTGACACGTCAACAAGTACAAACTAACCCAGCAGAAGGAATGGTCTGTACAGAGATGTGGGCTAACTACTTACCTCAAACCTCTCTTGCTCCATCCTATGATGGTCCTCAAGCTGCTGTTCCAGATAAGCCAGATTTCGAAATTTCTCTAGATAAATGTCATACTGCTTTTGCAACTCCTCCTCGATCTTCTCATATTCATCCATAAAGGCTGGCCTGAAACAACCGAATGAAATAAAAAGTGAAAGATTAATCAACATACAGAAGTTTGAACTAGTACTCTGAGTTCCAGGTCCCATCATGGTTTGCTGTGGAAAGCCTTTAGCTGGAGACGGTTCTTCAACTTGCAGCTGCTTAAAGTTAATTTGCCTTTTCTCCTCCCTCCCCTTGAAAGGAACATACTTATTTTTTTTTAATCAAAAGCTCTTAGGGGCACCTGGGTGCCCCTAAGGCTCAGTGTCTGCCTTCCACTTGGGTCATGATCCCAGAGTCCTGGGATCAAGCCCCGTGTCGGGCTCCCTGCTCAGCGGGAAGCCTGCTTCTCCCTCTCCCTCTGCCTGCCGTTCCCCCTGCTTGTGCACACGCTCTCTCTCTCTCAAATAAATAAAATCTAAAAAAAAAAAAAAAAAAAAAATCAAAAGCTCTTTATAAATCTGAAATAATCCCCAAAGTATGAAGACTAAGGTAAAAATTATTCATAATCCAGGGCGCCTGGGTGGCTCAGTTGGTTAAGCGACTGCCTTTGGCTCAGGTCATGATCCCGGGGTCCTGGGATCCAGTCCCGTGTCAGGCTCCCCACTCAGTGGGGAGCCTGCTTCTCCCTCTGATCCTCCCCTCTCTCATGCTCTCGTGCTCTCTCGTTCTCTCTCTCTCAAATAAATAATCTTTAAAAAAAATTACTCATAATCCTATCACCAGATATAAGCACTTAATATTTGATAAGCATCCTTCCAGACTTTCTATGCATGGACACATATAGGAATGTATTTTTAAGCATCATTAAGTATATTACCTTCAATGAAGTTTTGCAGTCTTTTTTTCTTACTCAACATGCCCTGGATTTTAATAAAGACTTAAAAAGTAATCATGCATCATATACACCTCACAAAATCAAGAAGTTAAATATATGCATTATCTTAGTTGAGCATAATATTCTGCTGTCTGAATGCTCCAAAATGTATTCAGTCCCCAAAAAAGGGAAACATAGGTTGCTACAAATTAAAGCTAAATTTTTTAAAAAGACTTTATTATTATTATTATTTTTTGAGAGAGTGCGCACAGGGAGGGGCAGAAGGAGAGGAGGAGAGAGAATCCTTAAGCAGACTCCTGCTGAGTGGGGAGCCTGATGTGGGGCTGGCTCTATCTCATGACTCTGAGATCATGACCTGAGCTGAAACCAAGAGTCCAATGCTTAACTGACTGAGCCACCCATGTGCCCCTAAATCTAAGTTTTTAAAAATATAAAATCTAAAACCAAAACCATAACACAAAAACCTGTTTCAACTGGTTTGCTGAATCTATTCTTTTCTCTTATTTTTGATCTTAAAGGGAAAACACTCTTCTTTAAAAATATAAACAGATACACTCAGAAATAATAAAAAAATCTTTGGGACTAGAGCAAAACACAGAAACTTTTCTATTGAAAGGCCATGAAGCTTAACAAAAATGAATTTATGCCCAAGAGGCAGAATTGTTTAATGAGACACATTTATCAGGTGGCCCAGATTCCAAAGGTGGAAGGGTCATGGGCCTGCCTGTGGCTGGTGCTCCCTGGGTTACTCATGTCCCCAGGGCCTCCTTCCCACAGATGTCAGGACAGTAGCCAGGGTGTGGCCCAGTCACCAGTATCTCCAAAAAGTACGACATTTAGACAGATGCAGCAGCTACACAGATGGAGTGGAGAGAGAAAAATAAAGGGAGAATGAAAAGGATGAGTAGTGGTGCAGGAGAAAAAATGACAAAGAGACAGAGCAAGAGAAGGAGGGTGTACAATGAGAGAGAGAACAGTTCCAAGAAAACGTGAGGAACCCACTTGAAAGGCTCTGAAGACCTGGAAGGTATTGTGCACCACCATTATCCATTCATATTCCCTGGAAAAACGTACTTTCAGAGAGGGAAAGTCAAAAGAAAGATGAATTACTGGTGAAAAATTATAAAGATCTAAAATCTACTCAAACCAAGAAATGGGAGTATGCTTCTGTTTCCACCTCAAGCCTTGCATAACTTTCACCATCTGGATTCACTTACTCTGCCCTGCATTCCAAGAAGCTATAAAAGCCTGAAGGGAGGTTCGAGAATTGAGCAGTTTCCCAAGCATACTGAAAGCAGTAAAGACAATGAGTTTGGCAGAGCATTTGTTAGAATGCGCGTGGCCCGCGCACTTTCAGTCCAGATGGCCTTACACCTGAGAGGCTACCACCACTGACCACATGTCCTCACCCTGCTTGAACTTCTGAAGACAACTTTCTACCCACTCTTCAGGTGTTCGGATCTACCTGACACTCTGCAGAGTCTGGAGCCGCTTCCGATTTCGTTCCAGTTCTAATTTCCTCTTCTCAATTTTGGCTTCTAAATTAGCTTCGTCAGAGGCCACGTTATTGAGCAGATCTTTAGTCTTCTGCACCTGCGCCTGCATTGAACAGGAAATGAATGAGACAATGTGCCAGTAAAGGAACTCCCACCTGACTCTTGGAAGAGAGGAATTCCACAGCTCCTCAGGCACAGCGACATCATGCTACATAAAAGCAAAAGTAGACGCACAGAGCAAACCCTCCCCCAAGCCATCACTCAGTTAGCCAACTATTTCCAGATGGGAGGTCACATAGGCCCAGAAAAAATGATCATCCTTTTTCCATGAGAGGAGGGTGTTTGTGCCCAGGAAAACAAATGAAGATGGCAAGAACAGTGTCCTGAGCAGAGGGGAGCAGGCCCAGACCTCTTGTGCAGCTCACTTGCTCACACTGCTTCCATAACACTCTCGATGGTCAGTCTGCCTTTATTCGTATCGTTCAGCTCACTCCCCTAGTTACAAATATCTGCCTCGGGCGCCTGGGTGGCTCAGTTGGTTAAGCGACTGCCTTCGGCTCAGGTCATGATCCTGGAGTCCCGGGATCGAGTCCCACGTTGGGCTCCCTGCTCAGCAGGGGGTCTGCCTCTCTCTCTGACCCTCCCCCCTCTCATGTTCTCTATCTCATTCTCTCTAATAAATAAATAAAATCTTAAAAAAAAAAAATATATCTGCCTCACAGAATATACGCACCCATACATATGGCTTTATTTAGGAGGGGACAAAAAGAAGTATTAGGCGGTCCCAGCCCTCTTCCACTGCCTGCTGGGACTGAGAGAGGTTCTCTTCCCTCCCATTGGCAAGTACAACTACGGACTAAAGCAGAGAAACCATTCTGTGAAGTCAGTGAGCAAAGGGCTCCGTTAGTGCACCCAGCTTTTGGAGGGAGCCTGTGCAGCAGGGGCAGAGAAAGAAAGTGAAGGGGAAGAAAGATCATGGACAAAACCCCACAAGAGCACGTTCATCTGACAAGGGGTAATCAGAATGAACGCACAGTCTTCACACTTGTCTTGTCTGGAAAGCTGGCCAGGTCGGGCCTGTGGCTCAGTGGTGAACTGCCTTTTTTTTTTTTTTTTAGGAACGGAGCCAGCTAAGTGTGTGACTGCCTTCCAAGTTCTGACGTCCCAACTCTTAGTTCCTGATGCCTGACATAGGTTCTCCCCACCAGTACTTTGGCACAAGGTGTCATGCCCCACGAAGGCTCAGTGACGGTTTACCTACAGGTCTCTGAGACACTATGGGGTCCACAAAAAAATCATCGAAGGAGCCCAGACACTCTCTGTGACAGTCAAAGACAGTGTATATTTGGAAGCAACCACTTCCATTGTTTATTTATGGTTGAGTTTTTTTCAACTAAGTACACTAATCATTTCCAAGATGTTATCATGAAAATAATCTTATCACTATTCATTTGCTACAAGTGCTTTAAAAACCCCACATGAGACATGAGTTTACTCTCACAGGAAGACAAGGTGAGTTTCTGAACAAACAATTCACGTTGATGGCAACTATTTCTCTGAACAAGTCAGATTAAACCTAGTGAATTTATCTGACTTCAAAAATAAAAGCAATTTGTTAAAGGTATGTGCTCCTCAAATATGAAATATCAGTGGGGCGCCTGGGTGGCTCAGTCGGTTAAGCATCTGACTCTTGGTTTTCGCTCAGGTCATGATCTTGGGGTTGTGGGATCAAGCCCCAAGTTGGGCTCTGTGCTCAGCAGGGAGTCTCCTTGAGAGTCTCTCTCACTCTGCCTCTCCCCAATGCATGCACGAGCCCACACGCTCTAATAGATAATCTTTAAAAAAAAAAGTTAGGGCGCCTGGGTGGCTCAGTTGGTTGAGCGACTACCTTCGGCTCAGGTCATGATCCTGGAGTCCGGGATCGAGTCCCGCATCAGGCTCCCTGCTCGGCAGGGAGTCTGCTTCTCCCTCTGACCCTCCTCCTTCTCATGCTCTCTGTCTCTCATTCTCTCTGTTTCAAATAAATAAATAAATTAATTAATTAATTTAAAAAAAAAAGTTAAAAAACAATTATCAGTGTGATAAACACAATTTTCCCTAGCTTTCTGAAACAAATGGCCTATATATCATAACCCCTTTTAAGTATCCATACTGTTGCTTTGGTTTTGTTTTTAGAATTATCAAATATCATAGATATTTTGCAACAACAGATATATTAAAAGGTGTTCACCAACTATGTTGTACACCTGAAACTAATGTAACATTGTGTGTCAGCTATACTTCAAAAAAAAAAAAAAAGGAAATAATAGGGCTCCTGGGTGGCTCAGTCGATTAAGCATCTGCCTTTGGCTCAGGTCATGATGTCAAGGTCCTGGGATCAAGTCCCTCGTTGGGCTCCCTGCTCAAAGGGGGGTCTGCTTCTCCCTCTGCCCCTCCCTCTGCACGCACACTCTCCCTCTCTCGCAAAACTAATCTTTTAAAAAAGGGGAAATAATAAATAAATAATACATAGATGCATACATACATACATACATACATACAGGGAGTCACCAAGAAATGAATGGTGCCCTCATTTCACTATTCTAATATATACTTAGTGCTAAAGGCACATTCATGCCATGTTAACTTGATCCAGCCAGAACACTGACAAGCACAAGAGCATCAGCAGATAAAAGAGTTTTAAATTGAAAAACAATCACAAACTTACAAACAGCTGGATTAGAACATAAAGCATTTTTTCCCTAACTTAGGTCAGAGTGGGTTGCTCATCTGAGGTCCCATCACCTCTAAATATTTGTGTATATTTCCTATGAATAAGGACTCTCTCCTTCACAACCATGACACAATCACTGAAACATGAAATAAACACAGATGCACTATCAACAATCTACTCCTCAGACCCACTCAGATTTCCCCACTTGTCCCTGTGGAGTCTGTAACATCAGGCGGAGTTCACCCTGGCATTCAATAATTAATCACCTGATTAAGCGGCTGTCTGCCAGGATTCTCATGTGAAGTCACTCTTTTCTCCTTTGTAATTACTAAGTACTTTTGGGCAGAGCTACTTTGAAACTATGTGAAATACCTTCTCTTCATCAGCTTTCAGTATGTTCACTTTTATTTCAGTAAGAACTCATGGTCTCCCATTTCATTCAATGGTCCATAACCCATTACACTAATTTATTTATTTTGAAGCGTAACTGTCCCTGGTTTGACCAGGGGAAGCCCACTCAGGCTGGCATCTGTTTTGCAAGGGATTTTGACAGACCCCTTTCATTCTCTGGGCATTTCCTTGCTCTCCAGCCCAAGAGGATCTTGTACTTTCCTGTCCCAGCTCTGGACTCAGACACTTCTCCCCAAGAGTCCTGGTTCCCTTTAGTGGAGAATGCCATTTAGAAGCCAAGATCTGGGTGCTAGGTGTGCTCAGAGCTAGGAAATGTATGAATGTGTATGTGGGTGTGCATGCGCATGTACATAAATATATGACATACACTCATGTATGAAAACATGCATGCACAGCAAAAGTATTCCTAGAGCTAGCTAGCTAGCTACCTACCTCTCTATCCAATGAAAACCATGCATTTAACCATCACCTCCAATTTCAGGGTTCATTCTAAGTTTCTTTTTCATATCTGCAACTCTCTTTTCCAACAGTGAGAAACTTCGCTTCCGTTATCTTTAACATATTTACCTACGTGATCAGTCTGCCTGTATGTAACAGACCTCCCATCTCAGCTGCCCTGCCCTCACCTGCTGAGGCTGAACCCTGGTGCTGGGTCGCCCAGGGAGTAGTACTGTTTTATGACAAGGATATTATAAAAACCTATCCATCTTAGAATTTACAACTCTCAGCAAATCCTTGTTTTATGCTACTCCTACTTTACATAAGGCTCTCCTGTCTGTGTCTACTGAATAAAATGAATCCCTAATAACGACTGAATACCTACCATGTGCCAGAGACTATGTACAACATGCACTGTCATAATGAATGTACATAAGGACCCTATGGGGCAGACACTGCCATTCTCCCCATTTTACAGTTGAGGAAAGTGAGGCACAGGGAGGTTAAGTAACTTGCCTAAGATCACACAGTGGGATTCAAACGTAAGCAGTGTGAGTCTGGAGTCTCCCTCACTACTGCCCTCCAAATGAATGTGTCAGATGAGATGAGCAAATAATTGATTGTGGGTAAGCAATAAAGGATGGCATTCTGTTCATCACAGCACTAGTTAGAAATCTCTGTGCCCAGGGGCACCTGGGTGTCGCAGTTGGTTAAAGTGTCCGACTCTTGGTTTCAGCTCAGGTCGAGCTCGGCATCAGGGTCTGCTCTCAGCGAGGAGTCTGCCTGAGATTCTCTCTCCCTGTCCCTCTCCCTCTGTCCCTCCCCCAGCTCATATGCTCTCTCTGAAATAAATCTTGACAGAGAGAGAGAAATCTCTGTGCCCAGGTTTCAGCACCAAAAAAACCCAAAAAACAAAAAAAAACCTCTGAAAATCACTTAAATGCCCAGCAGTGAGGAAGTTGTTAAAGTGTGAAGAGTCCATTAAATAGAGCATTACTTATGAAAAGTACTGAAGAATTTAAGCAAATTATTAAATTATTAAAACTGACAAATTTTTAGGGAGAAGTTGTTCATACTTATAACAAAGGGAAAAAAATAGAAGTAAGTAACCTAGGTATCCTAGAATGTCTTCTGCATCTTCCATTTCCCCATGATCATATATCTTCTCTGTCACTAGGCCTAGGATTGTTCTTTTTATTTATTTATTTATTTATTTATTTATTTATTTATTTATTTGAGAGAGAGAATGAGATAGAGAGCATGAGAGGGGGGAGGGTCAGAGGGAGAAACAGACTCCCCGCTGAGCAGGGAGCCCGACGCGGGACTCGATCCCAGGACTCCAGGATCATGACCTGAGCTGAAGGCAGTCGCTTAACCAACTGAGCCACCCAGGCGCCCAGGATTGTTCTGTCTTAAGAAGGCAGGGAATAAATCAGTATTTTCAAGTCCTAGGCACAGAAACATTAAATAAAAGCAAATAAATCTTACCAAAATATCTTTTATCGCAATTCTCATCACTTTTTCTGTCTCATTTATTTCCAGAGGTCTGGCAATTGCTTCTGTTCTCAGTTCCTATGAGAAACAATGAAATGAAATTACATGTACTTTCAGAAAAGATATTCTCAAAACCAATCCCCAAATCTGGATATGGCTTATAGACTAGTTCTCGAAAGTTCCATTACAGGGTGGATCTCTGATGCAAAACCACTTCTTCCAGCCCCTCTTCCAAATGTCTTTCTTTCTTTTTTTTCTTTAAGTACTCTCTACACCCAACGTGGGGCCTGAACTCACAACCCATGATCAAGAGTCATATGCTCTACCAACTGAGCCAGCCAGGCCTCAGTTGGTAATCCTACCACCAACCTGGCCTCCCTCTGGTGCCCTGGGCCTTCCCCAGCTACAGGCCCCACATTCCCACAACATAAGGGGCAAAACTGAGCTTACCCCCGTCATCTTTTCTCCCAAATTTGCTTCTTTACCTACATTCGTTCAGGTGAACCTGAAACCAAGTGCAGCTCAACCTGCTGTCTGAAACCCCTCCCAGCCCCTATCATCTTTCCTATGATTAATTTCCTCTAAGTTGCCTTTCACTGCCAACTGTAACCGATGAGAGGAGTCACCTTGGCCCTGCCCCTAGCATTAACCATTAACCAATCAAGGGAGGCATCTGTGCCTATCACACCAGTGCTAGGAACTTCTGAGACATGGGATTTTAACACCAATGCAGTTATGAGGTTCCTGCAGCACTTTCCCAAACTGTCTCGGGCTTCCTTTATTTCAGCACTGGTAGAAAACTATGGAGGGCAGGGATCATGACCTACACAGAGCACAGTGCCTTGCCTGTCTGTGGTTGGAGCTAGTCCTCAAGAAATGTTTGTTGAGTGTATGAAAAACCAATACTGGATAGAGAATCTTCCTCAGATCACAGCTGTATACAGAATTTGAGTAGTTGGCTCCCATGGCAACACTTCGGCCACTGATTCTTTCAATTCATTACAGGATGGTGCCAAGAGTCCCCAGTGGAATCCTGGTTGAAGTCTCACAATGAAGCCACTCTGTGGCAATTAACAAGTAACCAGTTCTTGATAGGTCTGTCTCCAGGTCTGCTAGACATGTGTGTAGACACGGGCACAAACTGCACTATAAAGAGAAAACACAGAAATCCTGGAGCTGCCTTGTTAGTTATCTAAATTAGCTATTAGATAGGAGTGGCAGTTTTGTTCTGTCAACTGCCTTTTACTAGGTGGCGATCACTAGGTTAATATATCAATGATGGTGAGCTGGCACTCCAGTCCCCTGCTTCCAGTCTGCTCCTGGGGCAGAAATGAAAAGCCAGAGGAAAAATACCATTACACTACAGCAGTGATGCCAGAACACAGGCCAGGCAGTGAGAGAGAGAGAGGTCATGGCCGACATACCCGACTGCAATAAAACGAATTAAATGCATTTAATATAAAAACACTAGAAGTGAGCATGTATGCTTCAAATGCCATAAATCCTTACAGGTAAGAATTAAACAATACTCCATTTCTTCTTAAACCAGTGGGTCCCAAACTCTGCCGCACATTAGAATCACTTGGAGATCCTTAAAAGCTCGACGCCTGGAGGGTGCCTTGGGCGTGCAGTTGGTTAAGCGACCAACTCTTGGTTTCAGCTCAGGTCATGATCTCAGGGTTGTGAAATCAAGCCTCACATTGGGCTCTACACTCAGCGCGGAGTCTGCTTGATATTCTCTCTCCCTCTCCCTCTGCCCCTCCTGCTTGTGCATCTCTCTCTCTCTCTCAAATAAATAAATAAATCTTAGGGGGAAAAAAAAAGGCTGGATGCCTGGCTCTCACCCCCAGACATTCTGATTCACTGGTATGGGGGACAACCTAGACATGAGGTGATTTAAAAGGACTACAGGAGCTCTATAGGGGTTTTAGGAGCCATACTCTTATTAAACAGCTTGGTAAACATAGTAGATGAAGCATTCTTCTTAGTTGGCATTGGCTAGAACAAGGATTGCAAATAAATCTTAACAGTGACACCAACTTCAGCTGAGGAATAGTGACAGCCCTCGTTGGGCTGTCCAGCTCTGCTGCACATTAGAATCACTCCAATGCCAGGTCCACTCCAAACCAGTGACATCAGCATGGAAGCCAGGTATCAGTAGTTTTTACAGGTCCCCACAGGATTCCACGTGGGAGGAAGGTTTGGGAACCAGGGGCTCAGAAGAGCACTTTGTAGACAGGAATGCTGAGTTCCCCAGGAAAAACACCATGACCAGGAAAGTCTGCCATGGGCACAAGGAGGAAAGTTCCAGCAACATGCTACATAATTGCCATTCCTGAACTAGAAGTTAAAGCTATTAAGAACAGACCAGGGCCACTAGAAGCAGGACTAGCAGCTAATGCTATTACCACCCTGCAGAGTATCTCATTTAATCAGATACAGTGTGACGAAATGAGAAGGCCAGGAAAAAGCAGAATCGGAAAGAAAAGCTTGAAAAATGCTTAGCCGAGGAAGTATTTAAGTATCTGAACATGGCTCACCCTCAACTCTACCTCCTTGCCCAGCAGGTCATACAGAGATGCTCCTTTGGAGGTGATTTCAGAAGCAAGCTGCCTGGCTGCTTTCAAATCTGCAATCTGGAGGGAAAATATCAAAACCAGAAACTTCAGTGACAGGTTTTTTGGTTTTTGTTTTTTTAAAGATTTTATTTATTTATTTGACAGAGAGACACAGCAAGAGAGGGAACACAAGCAGGGGGAGCAGGAGAGGGAGAAGCAGGCTTCCCGCCGAGCAGGGAGCCCGATGTGGGGCTCGATCCCAGGACCTGAGCTGAAGGCAGACACTGAATGACTGAGCCACCCAGGCGCCCCCAGTGACGGGTTTTTAATAGACATTCAGAAACAACCAGTTTGGGGCGCCTGGGTGGCTCAGTTGGTCAAGCGTCTGCCTTCAGCTCAGGTCACAATGTCAGTGTCCTGGGATCAAGTCTCCTCAGCCTCCCTGCTCAGAGGGGAGTCTGCTTCTCCCTCTCCCTCTGCCCCTCCCCACTGCTCGTGCGCAGGTGCTCTCTCTCTCAAATAAATAATATCTTTAAAAAATAATAAAAAAATAAACGCTTTGACGGGCGCCTGGGTGGCTCAGTTGGTTAAGCGACTGCCTTCGGCTCAGGTCATGGTCCCGGAGTCCTGGGATCGAGTCCCACATCAGGCTCCCGGCTCAGCGGGGAGCCTGCTTCTCCCTCTGACCCTCTCCCCTCTCATGCTGTTTCTCTTCTCTCTCTCTCTCAAATAAATAAATAAATAAAATCTTTAAAAAATAAACAAATAAAAAATAAAAAATAAACGCTTTGTTAATATCAATTCCTGCCTCCCATCAGGATACTGGACTATTGAACACGTTTTCCATAAGACACATATTTACATCCTGTGGAGGAGTGCTCCCAGGACATCTGGGTCTCTCTGAAAATCCAAATCTCAAGTCAAATGTAATCTTTAACCAGGAACTATAGGAGGGTGAAAGTGACATTCTTCCTGTTTGGACGAGGACACACCAGGGGACCCCGACAATAGCAAGGGTGGCGGCTGCTGCGAAGACGGCGGCCTCTAGTGTGCAGCACAAGCTTCTTCCTTAGGGTGCGCAGGTCACCCCCACTTCCTTGCATATGGTAACTTCTCCAGAGAACCCAAACATTTCCTTGCTCTGTTCACTCTTCCTCTCTTCAATTCCCACCTTGCTTTTATTCCCAAACCACCAGTAGCATGTCTCCCTCTGCATTCATAGCTGCTGACTTTCTTCCCCTTCCCTTAGTCCTCCAGGGTTCTGCTCCTTCCAGCTCCAGCTCCCTGCTCCCCAAACCATCTCATAGCAGCAAACGTCCCATTTCCTTTGCAGGAGTCTCATCATCTCCCCTGCTTCCCAACCCTGGAGGCCATCAGAGTTCAGTCCCCTAAACTCTTCTCCACTCACACTCCCTCCTAAGCTCCTGGCTGTAACACCTGCTACGATCCGAGGCCGGACACCTCATACTGAACGTGTTCCAACCCAAACTCCCCACCTTTCCCACCAGGCCCGCTCCTCTCACACTCCCCTCCATTTCAGTAAAGGCAACTTCGCCCCTGCAGTTGCTCAGACCAAAAACTTCAGAGCTATGATGGCTAAAACAGTTTGGACTTGCCACACGTGGCCATTTCAATGTTAAATTATTTAAATTTATTTTATTTTATTATGTTACGTTAGTCACCATACAGTATAAATTATTTAAATTTAAATAAAATTTAAATAAAATTATTCGGTGGTGCTAGCTACATGTGGCTAGTGGCTGCCACAGTATGGCATGGATAGAGAACACACCCATCATCACAGAAAGTTCTAGTAGACAGTGTGGCTATAGGATCTTCCTTGCATGGTCCGTTTTCTCTCAACCCACATCCAACTCCACAAGATTCAAATTAGGTTCTAACTCCTGGCCACTTCTTTCCAGAGGAATCTGGATCCTGATTAAAAACCTAGGTGTGATTTCCCCGGCCTGACCACAGGTGATCACAAAGGCTTTCTCCAGCAGGCCTGATGGGGGTGACCGGAGCCCAGGCTCAGCAAGACACTGCAGGCTCTGAAGGGACTGGCAGTCAAGGACTCAGGGCCTCTGACCCCCCCATTCATCATGTGCATTCCTAGCCCCAGGGCCTTCACTCCCAGGTCTCTTCATGGTGGGCTGAGGTCCTCTTCAGCGCCTCTGCCGTGGCCTCCTTGTGGGGGAGCTGGGGAGAAAACCTGCGGACACTCTTCCACTCCTAGTCCTCCCCTACCTCAGGGTGCATAAAACTGTCGGAGGCTTTTGTTCAGAGCTCCCTTGGGAGACAACCCCTTGAAGGGTGTGCCAACTCCTGGGAGAAAAAGGAACAGCGTGGCGGGAGGGAGAGGTGACGCTTCCTCTGCTTTTAACCCCTTGACCAAACCACCACAGTAAGTGATTACAGACTTAACTTGCATTTTTGGCTTGCTGCTTTCATCAAGTCCTCTGATGCGTGGCAGCTCAGCTCTCTCCCATCTCAGCTGAGCTCCTGACATCACCAACCACTCTGTTCAAAGTCACTGTCATCTCTTGCTTTCTAACAGGCCTGCTTGCACCCTCACCCCCCCTTCAGTCTGATCTCAACCCAGCAGCCAGAGGGATCCTTTACTCATTCTGTCTTACACCTTTAATATGAAGTTTCAAATCATGTACTTCTCTGCTCAAAACACAATGATTTTCCACCTCAAAGTCAACCTCTTTACAGTGGTTGTGCAGGGACCACAGGGCGGGGTCTGTCACCGCCCCCTCCAAGTTCTCACGCTCTCCTCGAATGCCCCGTTTCCTCAAACACACTAAGCACACTTTTATCAAGGATTACCTTTCCCCTTCCACTGCACGGCTTGCTCCTTCCCTCCTTTGGATCTCTGCTAAAGACGTCACCCATCCCATCTCCCTGCTGAAGATACCTGCCACAGCCCTGCTTTACCATTCCCCACACCTTGATCACCTCTGACCTATCATTCCTTCTGCTTTGTGGTTTAGTCTGACTCCCCCACTGAGCCATAGGAACAGAGGATTTCTGTCCTTGCTGTTCACATCTGTTATCCCCAGCATCTGAACTGAGCCTGGCATATAGTGGGCTTTTGGTAAGTAGTCGGATTAATTTACTGTGACTTCTTTTTGTATCCAAATGCTGATGAGCACAGAATTGACAAAATGCTCTCAGTCAAGGAGTAAGGAAAGAAGCGAAGACATGAGTATCTGACATGTTCCATTTCAGAGTTTAAGAAATACACATAATGTCCCACACTGGGAGCCTTTCATTGTCCTTACCTTTGAGCCAAGATCAAACTTGAATTTGCTGATGTCCTCCTCTCCTATCTTAGAGCCCTCCATCCCTTTGGTCTTCATGGCGTTATAAAGGACAGAGGTGATCTTCAAAAGCTCTTTCACTGCATACCCATCTGCCTGATAAAGCTTCTTAGTATTGAGTTTTATATGTGCCTTGGTGGCCTATTTTCAGACCAAAAAAAAAAAATAGTGTAAGGCCCTTTCCATGTAAAATCTAAATCGAAACCCATGTAAGTAATTTGCAATAACCTGATTGTATTGAGTCAAACTTCCAAGTGACTCAAGCACTGCAAGTCGGTGTCTAAACTTATACAATCTTGATGGAGAGTTATTTGGTAAATGACAATAAAATTAGAAATCCACCCATCTTTGACGCAGCAATTCCAATCCTAAGAACTTACCCTAGGGATACGGTCACAAAGTGATACGTATAGGTTACTCACTACAGCATAGTTTCAAAGAGCAAAAGTTACAATCTAAAGCCTACCTATATAAATTACATAAATTATGGTATACTCATGAAAGCAATACTACTCAGGTATAAGACAGAATGAGGAAACTGGATATGTATTTGGAAAGTTCTCCAAAACGTACCATTAAGTGAAGAAAGCAAGATTCTAAGCAGTGGTGTACCGTACGCCACCATTTGTGCAAAAGGAAGGGGACAGAATGTATACTGTGTTTGCTTATCTATGTGTAAAAAACTCTGGAGGATGGAAATGGGGATGAACTGGGTCAACAGCAGACAGGATAAAAAGTCATTTTACTCTATACTGCTTCTTAATTAAGAAAAAACTTTGAACCATGATGTATATTATGTATTCTAAACTAACTAAATAGAATTCTTTTTTTTTTTTTTAAGATTTTATTTATTTATTTGAGAGAGAGAGACACAGCGAGAGAGGGAACAGAAGCAGGGGGAGGGAGAGAGGGAGAAGCAGGCTTCCCACGGAGCAGGGAGCCCGATGTGGGGCTCGATCCCAGGACCCTGGGATCATAACCCGAGCCAAAGGCAGACGCTTAACGACTGAGCCACCCAGGCGCCCCAACTAAATAGAATTCTTAAAAAATAATGAATTAAAAACAAAAACACAAAAACCTGTGCTGGCGAAATGCCTCCACAGGAACCTGGTGACCAGATGGGCTTAGACACCGTGAAAACAGCCCCAGCTGGGACTCATCTGTAATGTACTTAATATTAAAATTCCAGCAAATAAATGTCAACTAACCAGGAACTGGGCAATTGCCTTAATGAAGAAAACTCGGTCTTGTTCAGTCTCAACATCGGAAGGGATGTCGGTCTGAGGTTCATACCTTTCAGAGAAAGAGAGAAGACAAGTTAATTAAGTACAAAGTTCACAAAAGAGAAAGGCAGCTGAGAGGATCTGTAACAGCAAGCTCTCTGAGTCCCGGCTAAGGTAGTAAGATTAAGAGAGACTTCAAAAGCAGCATAGAATGCACCCAAGGGAGTGAATCCTCACCTAAGAACAGATTTAGGTGATTTCAAAAATCAAATTTGGGGCTCAGCTTACAAAATTAAATCTCAGACCTCAAAGTTTAATTAAAATAGAGCTATTACTCTGGCTGACAGCCCTTGACCCAGGGCTAACTAGTTAGCTTGAGAAGCAGCAGAGTTATTGGAGTTCTTCGAGTTACTGATGACCCACCAGGGGTCAGCGGACTGCAGCCCTTGGTCTCTTTCTGTACAGACTGCATGCTAAGAAGGGTTTTTACATTTTTAAAGCATTATCACAAACAAAACCCATGAAAGAATATGCAACAACGATCTTATGTAGCCTGCAACACCTATATTTATGATCTCAAAAAAGTTCCCCAACCCTGAATCATATTAGGTTTTTCAGACGAACTGAAATCTGAATCTAAATGATTTCTACTTCAGTATAGTCATTAGAGTGTGTGGACAGATCCCTGTCACTCCCTGATCAAAGTGAGAGCATGAAGAGGAGCTTGGACCAGTGCCCAGTGTCAGCTTCTAACTGAAAAATCTCCTTTTACCATTGCCTGGTTTTTCTCCTCTCCACAGCACTCTTCAGACTCAACGGATTTTTAACAGGTTACAACTAAGTCTGTCAAACTCAAAATTTATTGAATTCTTCCCTTTGCTTCATCACAATATCCAGTTTCAAAAGGTGGCTATTGAATAAAATAGAGCACTCATTCTTAGATCTTAATAAAGTACATTTCTAACCGTTTCACAAGCCAAAGCAGCACTTCAGACACAAGTCCAAAATTTGGTGTGCGGAAGTTTTCCATAGAGATATGGCGAGGGTATCCCAAGGCTCTCATCATCTCTGTAAAATCTGTCCAAAGGTAAAATACAGTTCAGTCAGTTCCCCATCAAAGAGCAACTACTTATTTACTTAGATACTTTCCTTGATTTCCTTTTTTATTCCCAACGTATTGACAGTTTCAGGGACTATTTATCAAGTCTCTAAGAGGGAAAGTAAAAAGGACATGAAAGTTAAAATACATAATCTGCTTCCTGAAAAACATTTAAGTTCAATGCGAGGAAAAAGTGGAAGCTATACATTATAATAGGGTTTAGGGATTGGCTGTGAATAGAATTTCTCTCTTTGATATGTCATTTCTCTCTTGGATATCTTTCTCTTTACCACTCAAAATGAGAAATACCTGGTTTTATAAAATGTCATAAAGAAAAAATATATTGGGGCGCCTGGGTGGCTCAGTCGGTTAAGCTTCTGACTCTTGATTTTGGTTCAGGTCATGATCTCAGGGTGAAGAGATCGAGCCCTGCATGGGCTCCACACTTAGCAGGGAGTCTGCTTCTCTCCCTCTCTCTGCCCAAACACCCTGCTCATATACAAGTGCACGTGCATGCTTTATCTTTCTCAAATAAATATTTAAAAAATATATATGTTAAATGTTAACAGTGGTTATGTTTAAGGGTGATAGTTGTAGGGCGAAGTTCACCTCTCTGAGTTATTCTGGAGTTGGCTTGTTAATCTTTTTTTTTTAAGATTTTATTTATTTATTTGAGAGACAGAGTGAGGGGCAGAGGGAGAGGGAGAAGCAGACCGCCCCCCCCCACTGAGCAGGGAACCCAATGCGGGGCTCATTCTCAGGACCCTGGGATCACGACAAGAGCCAAAGGCAAACCTTAACCAACTGAGCCACGCAGGTGTCCCAACTGCATTGTATTTAAAGAAACCTTAGAGAGACTGGTTGAACTATACAGCAATATTTAGATTTTTTATAAACCAGAACAAGACACAATACTAATACTAAACCAGAGGTAGTGGTCACTACGCTTTAAGCAAAATGAGAAAATGAACACAACAAACGTTTTTTGCGTTTCCACAACATGCCAAGATCTACGTTTGGTGCGCTTCTGGGCTGTATTTGTAATGCCTGTCCTTGCTCTTCCTGAAGGTTCAAAATATCTCAACAACATTCACAAAAAAGCTACCTGGGCACCGAAGGTTAGGTTAGATCTCACCAGGCAACAGAAGGTACGAGCAAAGGAAAGAGCAAGGGCACAGAGGGCCCTTGTCACTGTTTTCTGGGAAATGTGAACAGAATGATGATCAATAATACAGAATTCTTCCCACCACACAGCCAGGCATTGCCTCCGTACTTCTTCCCATTACGTAGTAAAGTTCTGTTAAATCTGCAAAACGGGGACAATCTGACTACAATTCCTATCATAAACTGCACAAATGTATGGCATTCATATAAGGTCAAAACGTTCAGGGGCGCCTGGGTGGCTCAGATGGTTAAGCGTCTGCCTTCAGCTCAGGTCATGATCCCAGGGTCCTGGGATCAAGTCCCGCATCGGGCTCTCTGCTCCTTGGGAGCCTGCTTCTCCCTCTGCCTCTCTCTGTCTCTGTCTCTCATGAATAAATAAATAAAAAATCTTTAAAAAAAAAAAAAAAAGGTCAAAATGTTCAGAAATCCCTTTCTTACACCTTCCTTTCAGCACAACTGCATTTAGTGTCCCCTAGCAGAATGCTGGCCTCGGCCTGCGAAGGAGGAGAAACCTGTCTCTGCAACACATAGTTGCCACAAACCCTCAAATCCCAGAGGGCATATTTCACACTATGGTGCTCCTATATAGTGTCCCCTATATTTACATAGTAGAAAAAGAGCAATTACTAACTAAAAGGAGTAATCGTTAACGGTGCAATGTCCAGCAATTCGTTAGGAAACTGGCAGTAAAGATCGCGCCCCAGATCACACCGGATTGACAATCACCTGCTACACCTGTGCAGGTGGAGCCAGTTAGCCAAACCGCTTCAGATTCAGAAAATGACGGCTCATAAAAAAACAAAGGATTTTGACTCACACAGTCCCCGGGCTCCAACCGTGCTTTCCACTCAGTTTTAGCTGCGTGACTTAAAGTAAGCTACTTGACCTCTCTGTGCCTCCAAGTATTTCATGTAAGGATCGCACTACCCACCTCACTGTACACGTGAGGACGAAAATCACATACTGAATATAAAACGCCTGGCGTGTTAACAGGTGCCCCCAAAGGAGTAGGAACTAATTCGCTTATCCCCATTCCACTCCCCACTCTCCTAACAAAGGCACTTGGGTTCCCTTCTCCACAGTCCCTTTAGGAAGGATGAGGCTTTGGAAGTCAGATAAACCAAATGCAAACTCCCGCACCAGCTCCCACCGCCTGTGTCCTTGGGCCGAGTTCCCTGACCTCCCTGCCCGGTTCCTGCTCTATGAATACAGAACACACGGTAGTTCAGAGGAGTCAATGAAATGATGCACACCCATACAACAGGAACTCCCCGGCAGATCGTAAGAACCCAAAAAATGCCACCCGCAACTACCATTCACTAGTCCCCTCCTCGGTTTTGTTCGTTTTTCTGAGCTTTTCACCTAACCCAACTCAAAAGCGGTCTCAGAGTTTTCCAACCCGGTAGCAAGCAGCCCCATGTGTTCATACAAGTCATCTAAAATCAGACAAAATTAACACTTCGGCTCCTCAGCCGCCTAACCACACGCGGCCAGGGGCACACACAGCACCTCCCGCCGGGTCGGAGTGCGGACAAGGGGCGGGGGCGCTCGGCCTGGGGGGCGGCAGCGGCCAGGGACGCCCCGGAGCCGCACAGGCCCGTGCGGGGGGACTCGGGCCGCGGATCCGCAGGGGACAGCGCGCAAGGCGGCCTTACTGCGGAGGTCGCGGAAAGACATCGTGCTCTTGGTGCCCTGCAGCCCGGCGTCTGGGCCGCTCGCCCCTCAGCGCTCATGGGTCTCTATGGCAACGCACCGAGCCCTCGACGGCGCGCGGCGTGGGCCAAACAGGACCGGAGGCGAAGCGGCCCGGGCGCGCGTGTGCGCACGCGCAGGGGCGAGGCGCAGGGGGTGTCCGGAGGATGCCAAAGGAACCTGACCGCAGCGAGGGGCTGCGAGCTGCGAGGCATCTGGGTCCTCTTCACACACTTTGCAAACATACATCTGGCCCTGGCGGACACATTGTGAGCACCTACTATGTGCCTGACGCTGTGCTAGGCGCTCTACGTACTGCTTCTCATTTCTTCCTCAACTCCCTAGAATGTACGATAATGTCACGAAGCCGGGTCTCCCTCCTGGGTCCTGTGCCAAGCACATTTCTCCCTGGCATGGGTAAACTCGCTGGTTTCGCGGGCGACCGAGACCCTCGAGAAACGGCAAAGGGATGAAGAGGCGAGGCCGGGGACGTAGGAAGACAAGACCCAGGCTGGCCGCGGGGCGGCGAAAGGCGGCCCAGCGGCGACCGCGCATGCGCAGCTCGCTCGGGCTTCACGACAGGCTGGAAACCGGCCCGGGTCCTCGTTCGCCGGCGATTGTCTTGGCAACCCAGGCTCTTGGGGCGAGGGCGTGGCTGCGGGGGGCGCCGGGGAGAGCTGCGCGCGAGACGTGGCCTGCTCAGCTGGATGCTCCCCTGGGAGTCTTCCCTGTCCCGCAGCCACGGTGGGAGGCTGGCGACCGAGAAGGGCTGGGGAGGGGGAAGAAGTGTGGCGACCCGGAAGGGCGGGCCCAGAGGAGGGAGTGCCACCCGCCGGCCGCCCTCCCCCCCCTTCCTTGGCGAAGGGACACGCACAAAAACGCTGGGACCTCAAAGAGATCCTGAGCTAGAGCCACACGCACCTGGTCAGTGTGACAAGGGTGGCAGCGCTCTTTAGTGGAGAAGTCTTTCAACAAATGGTTTTGGGACAATTGGAAACCCATATGCAAATAAATGAACCTCCGCCCTTTCCTAAATGTAAAACTTAAAAAGCTGTAGAGAAATATTTCTCTAGAAGAAAGCTTAGGAGAAATATTCTGTGACTATGTTAAGCAAGATTTCCTAAATACACCAGAGGTATGATCCTTAAAAAAAGGGGGGGGGTGTTTAGGGCGTCTGCCTTCGGCTCAGGTCATGACAGCAGGGTCCTGGGATGGAGCCTTACGTTGTGCTCCTACTCAGCTGGGGGTGGGCGGGGAGTGGGGGGAGTCTGCTTCTCCCTCTCCTCCCCACTCTTGCTCTCTATCAAATAAAATCTTTTTTTAAAAGATTTATTTTTTTAAAGATTTTATTTATTCATTTGACACAGCAAGAGAGGGAACACAAGCAGGGGGAGTGGGAGAGGGAGAAGCAGGCCTCCTGCAGAGCAGGGAGCCCCATGCGGGGATCGACCCCAGGACCCCAGGACCATGACCTGAGCCAAAGGCAGATGCTTAACGACTGAGCCACCCAGGCACCCCTTTAAAGATTTATTTGAGAGAGAGAGAGCATAAGAGGGGAGAGGGTCAGAGGAAGAAGCAGACTCCCTGCTGAGCAGGGAGCCCGGTGTGGGACTCATGCTGGGACTCCAGGATCGTGACCTGAGCAGAAGGCAGTCACTCAACCAACCGAGCCACCAAGGTGCCCTTCAAATAAATAAAATCTTAATAAACAAATAATTTTTTTTTATAAATTGCACTTCAACAAAATTTAAAACTGTTCTTCGAGACACTTTTAAGAAAATGAAAAGATAGCCCACCATCTAGAAGAAAGGATTCACGAAACACATGTGATAGGAAGACTTGTATCCAGAATACATAATGAACTCTCAAAACTCAATAAAACAATCGAATTAGAAAGTAGACAAAGAATTAAAAGATACTTCACAGAAGAAGATATATGGCAAGTAATAAGCAAATGAAAAGATGCTCAAGATTATTCATCAGTAGGGAAATGCATTTTTTTTAAAGATTTTATTTATTTATATGACAGAGACAGCGAGAACAGGAACACAAGCAGGGGGAGTGGGAGAGGGAGAAGCAGGCTTCCCGCTGAGCAGGGAGAGCCCGATGTGGGACTCGATCC